AAGTTTTTATATAGTATATTCTAATATTTAAAGTTTATAAAGATTTTTTTTATATAATAATTAATTATATTATAGTCTGCGAGAAATTTATTAATATAAATCTATTAACTAATAGTCACTATTCTAATTTTATAATCTTAGTATATAAAACTATCTAAAAACTATACTAGTTTATTAAAATATCTTAATTATATAATTTTTTAAGCTTGTATAATACAGCTTTAATTTCTGTTATATTAAATATAATAAAAAAAATTATTTATATATAAAAATAAAATTATTTTTTTATAGATATAAATACAGATATTTTAATTTAATAGTTTAAAACTAAATATATAAAATATTTTATTAATTATTTTATTCTAGAAGAATACTACTTATTTAAAACTATATAATATTTTTTTAAATATTAGATCTCACCGGATGATTTGTAAAAGCTTATTAATTGATATATATATATAAATCATTTTTAGAACTTAGTATTAAAATATACTATAATAATATTATATTAAATATATTATAACTATAAAAATATAATAATAATAATTATAAATTTTAAAATAATATTATTTAGAACCGGGGTATAGTTATTTTTAAAATTAAAACCGAGCTGTTAATAGTTTCTATATATTATTTAGTATATTTTAAAATATTATATTTAGCTGCTGTTGTCGGCCTTTATAATATATATTTATTTATTAAAAAGAATATAAATATTAAACAGCCGGTTAATAAAATTAAATATATTATTTATTATTTCTTATATTTAGTTTCTATTATCTTTAACTAAATCGGCTATTAAAAAGATGTTTTAATAATATTATAAATTTTTAAAATTAAGATTTTATTAATATATATAAATATTATATTATATAATTAAAACATCCTCTTAAAACCAGGCTATTTATATAATATATTTTTAATTAAATAATCTAATATTTATAATAGCTAAAATTTATAGTTTTTATAAAAATAATATCTTTATTTAAACTTAGTATTAATTATTTATATATTTTTTTAAATAATATATAGCATCGGCTGGATATTCTAATTAATCCGAAGATTAAAATCTATAAATATTATATATTATAAAATCTTAATAGTTATATTAACTACTGTTTATTTTAATTTTTAAAATATCTTTAAAATTATAATTTAATATAACTTTAATAAAATATTAATATTATATAATTTTATATTTATTATTAGTATATATAGCAGCTTCGGCGGCGGGTCTTCCGGCGGTATAATAATAATATATTTTATAAAATTATAAAACTTATTTTTTTTAATATAATTCTAAAATATTTTTTTATACTTTTAGTTATATTTATTATCAAAATCTTGCTAGCTGTAACAGTTTTAGACTACTATATATTTATTAAATATCTTTTAAAAATTATTATTTAAATTAAATATATATAGATATTATATATAAATAATTAATATATTAATTTTAATATTTAAATATATAAATATTAAATTATTTAATAAAATCTATAAATTAGTATTATTAACCGTCGCCGGTATATATACTATAATAATAAAATTTAATAAAATCTTATATATAATAATATCTAATAGTAATAGTTTATAGTATTAAGATTACTATAGTATATTTATAAATATAATAAAATTATTTATTATTTAAAAAATAGAATAATTCTTATTTATAATATTAAGTTTTATTTTTTTAATATATAAAAGCAGCAGAGACGGTTCTTATTTAAAATCTACAAACTAAATATTTATAGTATATAATAAAAATAAAAATAATTCTTATTTAAAAAACTAATTAGATTTTTTTATTTAAAAAAAAATATTTTAATATTTAATATTATTAATAATACTTCCGGGTAAACTTCTGCTGTTAAAACTTAAAAAATAATTTTTTTATTTATAAATTAAAAAAACTTTTTTATTATTATCTTTTTTTATATATTTTAAAAAACGTCTGCGATAGTCTTTTTTATAATTATATATATAAAATATTTTAAAAAATAATAAAAAAATAGAATCTGGATTTAAATTTATTTATAAACTAATAACTTAATAATATTTAATAAAACTATTTATTATTTATATATAATTAGCTATATTAGTATTAGATTATTATTATTTTTCGGCGGCTTGGACCAGACGGCGCTTTAATTTTCTAGCAGTAAAAAAAAACTAATAAAAAAATATATAAAAATATCTTTAATACTATTATTATAATTATTATTATATATATTATTTAAAAAATTTAATATTATTAGAGTATATAATTTTTTTAAATTTTTATTTATAAATTTAAAATATATAACTATAGTTGCTTTTATAGCCGATAAAATAACTAATCTATATTTATAGTTTAAATTTATATTTTTTAATATATTAAAAATTATTAAAATTAATTAGAATATAAACTCTGCAGCTATATATATAAAAATACTTAATTAATATAATATGAGATTTAATATTAAAATAATTATATTATTTTAAAATTAATAATAACTTTTTATTTAATAGAACTAGATAATTAATAATATAAACTACTATTTTAACTATCTTTAACTAAGAATATTCTAATAAACCAGTATTAATTAGTATAATTCTAGCTGTTAATATAATATATTATTTATATTATTTTATATAAATATTTTAATAATAATAATATAAAGCTGATATAAAATATATAATATTTTTAAATTCATATTACTTTCTAAACTTTATAAACTTACAGCTATTATTAAAATATTATTTTATAATATATTAATTAATAATATTTTTATATTATTTATTAAATATAATTAGTATATTACTAGCTTTATTCTTAAAATTTTTTAATAGACGGATCTCTACGCGGCTAGTAAATAAATTAATAAGAATTAAATAATATTTCTTATTTTTAAATCTTATAAATTTTAAATATTAAATATTATAATTCTAAATATTTTATAAACTTTATTTTTTAATTATTAGTTCTTATAATATCTTTTTATATATTTTTCTAGTATTATAAGTCTTATATTTAAACTCTGGTTTATTAACTATTTTATTATTAATACTTTTTATTATAATAATCAATTTTAACTTATTTATATAGTTTAAGTAACAGTATAAAAAATATAAATTAATAATAGTAAGTTAAAGATATTTAAATAATTTATTGTTATTATATATTTTAATAATAAATATTTTACTATGTTATATATATCTAGTAGTATAACTAATATTAAAATTTTTAATTTTATAGTTTTTAATATATTAAATAATATTTTAATTATTAAATATTTTTTCTACTAATAGTAGATTATATAGAATATTAAAATTATATTTTACTTTTATAATTAATTTAATAATTTTGCTGTTTTTAATATTAAAATATAACTTAATTTTTTATATTTTTTAATTTTATTATAACTGCTAAAAAAGTTAATATATTAATATATCTTTCTAAATATTTATATCTTATATTTAATAAAAAAATTAAAGTCTAGTATTAATATATATCTAAAATTAGAGTTTTATATTTATATAATAAAACAGTTTTTTCTACTAGATTTTTTAGCAACAGTTATATTAATAAATATATTAATATAATAAAAATATATAGCAGCTGTAAGATTTCTTTTTATAATAGAAGATCTATAATATTATATATAAATCTACGGTTTCTATTTCTAAAAATATATATTTAAATAAAAATAGAAGTATAAATTAATACTATATTTATATCTATTATAAAAAATATATTTATTATTCTTTTTTTTATATAAAAATAATCTCTAAATCTAAATAAATTAATTATTAGATTAACTATTTATTAGCTTTTTTAATAACTATATAATATTATTCTTTTATTTTTTTTTAATATATTTACTAAAATTATATTTTTTAATTTATTATTTTTTTTGAGTATTTATAGGGTTATATTTATATAACCGGCGTCTATTTCTTATTTTTTAATAATATTTTTAAAATAAATAATTAAATTAAAAAATTTAATATTATTATAAAAATTATTATAATTTTTATTAATATTATTTTTATATATTATTATCTATAATAAGAAGTTATTTTTTAAATAGTATAAAAAAATAATAGTATAAATATTTATCTTACAGCCGAAAGCCCGAATATCTAAATATTTATATTAAAATATATTAATAAATTATAACAGTTTTATATACTATAAGAATTTTATAGTTAAAAAGCTAATAATTATAGTCTATTTTCTAAATATATTCTTTTTATAAATAATTCTATAAATAACAGTAAATATCTTATTAGTATATTTAAGCTTTAAAAACTAATTTAAATATTTTTTAAATATATTTTTTAATATTAAATTTATAAACTATCTACTAATTAAAATTAATTATTATTCTTATATATTAAAATATTCTTCGTCTAGAGTTAATTATAATAAAATTATATTAATAAAATCTTTTATACAATAAAAATAAAAACTTATTTTAATAATATATAATTAGATATTCTATTCTTACTTATTTATAAAAAGTATTAATATTACTGGTAAAAAATCTAGCAGCTTATTAAAAAAAACTTTATATTTTTATTCATACTATATATAGTATTAGATAATAATATCTCCATCTTTTAAAGTAGTTTTTTAGTCCGGTATTCTTAATATATATTAAAAGTATTCCAGCTACTAATTAGCTGGCCGCAGTACTGCTCGATATATATAAAAATCTAAAAATTAAAAAAAGTAAAAAAAATATTATAAATAATATAAATTTAATAAATATAAGATTTCTTAATAAAATATTAATAAAATTAACGCTTTAAAAAAAGAAAGAATATTAAATAAAAAAAAAACTTATAATCTAAGAAAAATATAAAGAAAGATAGATTCAAGCTATCTAGACACCTATCTAACTGCCGGCCGAAGGCGGTGAGCTGCCCAGCCAATGGGAGGCCAGGCACTCCACACTATTAATCTGTTTATATATTAAGTTGTCTTCCTGGCCCGCCCGGTCAAGCACCATATACTAAGTTTGGACTAGGTTCATACTGCGCGGCGTACACTTTACATAAACTAATCGGCACCACTGACACGTTTCCGGAAATGTGAAGACCTCTCCAGCTGGTTTGGTATATCGGAATAGCATATTGGTCATCTTCGCTCCCGCATTGCAGCAGTTACTGTACATTACCTGCAGACATGACGTCCCGGGTCAAGAAGCACACCCTAGGTCACAATGACAGCCCACAGACCACTGAACACCGCCAGTCAAAGAGAGCGAAGTCAGACAACACAGAACAACCAAATAAGACACAATCCACTGCATTGCCAAAGGTAGACATGAGTGGTGATAACTACTGGGACTTATCGAAATCCCGTCGTGTGACAGTCTCGAATTTCCGAGGGAAGGCCATGGTCAATATCAGGGAATATTATGAGAAGGATGGTCATGAGCTTCCCGGCAAGAAGGTAATCTTGGAGTTTATTGAGTTGGATCTATCTAAATTGCTGAGTAGGGAATTTCTCTGCCAATCGAACAGTATGCGAGACTCGTGACTGTGTTACCCGACATTGAACTTGCAATCAAAGCCCACGGCGAATCAGTTCCGCGACCATCGTATGACAATGAAATTGTGCAATCTTCAGCAAACGATGAGGCAATTGGAGAGGTCAATGCCCCGGCCAGCTCTGAGAGTCCGCGAAAGAATATTGAGGCTACAAGTGACGAGGAAAGCGGAGAGGAATGAGTTAGACGAGTCTAGCGAGAGAATCCTAGTTAAACTTGGCCACTAAACCATGCTATCAAGTCTCCCATAATACCACTGCTCTCTTATTCGACCAGTATTGCCCATCCATCGACAAATATGCCGGCAGTACAGTGCTGGCAACCCTACGCCGAATAGATGCTCTATAACCCAAGCTACGGAAGACTGCCGATAAGTAATCGTACACCACGATTCACATTCTCTATAACATCCTGCATGTACTCAAGCGCGATACATTAGATTAATGCAAGAAGCTCGCTGGGGGAAAGAGGCTTTTGTTTGATGGTCTGCAGCTATGGGAAATATGTATTCGGCTTCAAATCACCGGCCTCTTTTGCTATTCAACTTGCTGTGACCTCTATCTATAGTATGAGGGTGATAATTGCAGAGAAGCATGCAAACACTATCACTGCATAATGGCATCTCTAGATCTAAATCGATATTTTAGTGTCTGTTGAAACCAGTACGGTCGTAACTTCCGTCCACATACTTATGTGTGTACTTATGGTAGTTTGAGTAGTTGATTGGTCCACAGAAAACAATAGGTTTTCGTTTCCAAGTTGTCTATGTGCCAGAGTTCTCTTCAAGATCCACATGGAAAGTAGGAAGTACTCACGAGTCTCACATGTACTATGTTAGATTATGTGGAATATCTGCCCCACACAATCCCGCCACTAGATTCGGACTAGCAACCCCTGCTAAGTCCGCCAGGAACTCCAGTTTCCGGGCCTTATCAAACGATCTCCGCAAACGCCCCTGAAAGCAATATTGCCTATCAGAACAACATCGCACGTCCTTGTCCCTTTGCTATTTCCAGGCACTGGAATAATCTGTTGCTCTAATCATAAAACTGATCGGCTGATCCGCATACTGGACTGTCACATTGCACATGCATTGCCACCAGGTGTGCTGAAATTGCTCGATTGGCGTTCAGCTTGCCTCATATGCATCGGCAGGAGTGCCGTCTGCTGCAAATCTCTATAGCAGTGCATTTACTCAAAGGGCTTTACTCATGTTGAAGTTCAAAGAGTGAGTCAGCACGGCTGTATTCAATTTGCCCAAACAGACTACGAGATTGCAGCGTTTACGACTTGGTTGCTTCCTGTGTGTAATCTCAAAGCATAACTCATTTTTCAATCGCTTTCAACAATACGAGTGCCACTCTTTGCGACAATTTGCGTCTACATTATTAGGAAACACCACTCTTCTGTTCCAGCAAAATTTGCAACCACACTGCCTTGGCTTGGAAAGTCGAAAGGTATTTGTTGAAGCTTCGATATATGCAACTTTCAAGAGAACATCTAAGTACTGCTGCCACCCTAGGGTTCACTCCTAGATTCGCCGAGCACTGTTGCACCATGTTCTTCAACCTCCCAGCAGAGCATGAGTCAGGACCAATTCCCAAATCTCTAGGCTCCCGCCCCCCTCAATCTACACAGCAACAAATGCTTTCGCACCATTTAAACCTCACAAATCGCAGGTCCAACCGCAGTCCAAAGACATCCGCAGAAATGACGGCTACACCAGATATTGATATAGCAATCAATAATGACCCTGAAGAGAATGACATTCGCGAAGGACTTGGGAGTCTTAATCGCTGGTCTCAGTCGACAACATCTAGCAGGAATTCGCATAAAGCGTTCTTCACAAACAATGAGTTGTGGGGCGATCAAATGAGTCCAAGCAGCAAAGTGGGGTCGAATCCTTCACGAACATCATTCGCACCTGCAGATCATGAAACTTCTTGTGGATACCGTTCTCTCCGAGAATCTGTACATCAAGATCTCAGTGAACATTTGGCGTTGACCGCAAATGAGGTAGTTTCATTCACCTCGGGCGCTATAAATGCAACCTCGCCGCAAAAGGATGCACAAGTGCCGCGAACTACTCAGCCTCTTCCTAGTCTGTTCCAGAACCCGTGGACTGAGAGACGCAGTCAATACGTTGAGAAGGGGAGGTTGGAGCGCGAAGATCATTGCACTCACCCTATGTCTGAATCAGACAGTCCTCGCACTCAAGGCTTAGACATGCCTGTTCATACAGATTCAGAATTGTCTCTTATGAAAGGGAAGGCCTACGAACGAAGAAAACGTGGTCAGTCCCAGAAAGTCATGCTTTCGAAAGCGCTGCAGAAAGCAAACACTGCCGTCCTACTTGACAACGCTGCAAATTTTGAAGGAGCGATGGAAGCGTACAACGATGCTTGTCATTTACTTCAGTTGGTAATGGATCGAAGTGATGGGGGTGAAGACGAGAAGCTAAAACTTCAAGAAATAGTGAGTTCCCCTGCAGCAGATACGTAAATTAGTACTGCGGGCTGAGCTTAAGAAAAGCGCGATACCTATATGATTCGTGTAAACGAGCTCCAACGTATGGACTTTTCAGTCCGAAACGTGGATAGTAAAGCCCTTCCTGAGCGGCCCCGCAGTGAAGAGTCTTATGTGGAATATTCGTCAATGCAGGAGAACAGACATACATCATTCAAAGAGGAGGACCTGAACCGCTCACAGCACGGTTCCGATGTGCATTTGGTCCTTGAAATGAAAGAAACGATGCCATACAGTCAACCCTCTCCGCGGCAGCTACTGCTTCTGCCATCTGCAATTGATGATGATGCTGATGATGCTGCTGCTGCTGATGATAAAATGGTTACTACTTCTGACCATGACTGGATAAATCAGGCATTGGAACTAAAGGAAAAAATGTCCCAGGCAGCTTCTCGGCGATCTGACGAGCACATTAGAGGCTCGATTACTTACAATGAGCCTACACCAGAAGCTGGTGTAGGCCAACAATCTGTTGAACCGCCGCTATCTGAGATGCCTCTGTTTGATACTCAAGGTAAGGGTGTTCACGAAACAACATCATGGCTCGATACTATCGACGAGTCTGGTGCTTCTTCGCCCGCTTCTATCCGTTCAACTTCGTCGTCTCTCTACCTACGTCGCAGAACAGGTCATCAATCAATCTATGGTACTGAGGCTGAATTTGATGCTGCCCTGGATGCAGCCGTCGAAGCCGCCTATTATGAGGATTTGCAGCTGTTAACTAGTTCAACTGACTATCGCATGGCCCAAAGCTGGCGGAAAACTGTCGACTCAGGGAATCAACAGGTCAGAGAATCTGCAACGGAGAGTGGGGAGATCCCTGAAATCCAGGAATCGCTTCTAACCTATAACGAGGCACCTCTGGACAGTTTTGCTGGTCCTGCAAAGGGGTATGTGGATGATGAAGTCGAGGAAGAGGAGCGCTTACTAGAGGAAATGACGAGAGGCTATATCATGGATGAATTCGAATTCGGTGTTCAGTCTAAGTCCGCCCTGCCTCGGCAGCCAGTTTCAAGCAGCCAACTCGGCCGATCACGAGAGAGCATTGGGTTAGCTCCTAATCATGGAGCTGTGGACTTGAATTCATATACCTCACACCAAGCTACAGGATCTGAGCCCAACAATTTCACTCAGCCAGAACACAGCCTCGTAGCTTCGATCACCAAGCCCACATCTGGTTCCTCGGTAGGATCAAGTGTTCGGGCACGAAGGCTGTCAGGCCAGCATACTACCGAGCTGAAGATCGAGACAAAGCCCCACTTCGACGCTCGCTTGAAAATCACATCGATACAGCCGCCAGATCCATTTGTCCCTCCCACAGAAACGGCTTCCAAAGATGAGCAATTGCTGAGAAATAGTAACTCGTCGCAGAAAACACCAGGTTCAGCTTCTGGCTTCCGATCAATCATACAAGCCAAAAGGCGCAATGTGTCAGTCAGTTCTTTCACTGAGGACATGCTGGCACATGCAACTGCTGGAAAGACTCAAGACAGCGGCAATCCCTGGCATGCGAAACTTCCTTCCCCGACTCGACCAATCGGTAAGGTGCCATCGGCACCAGACAGTCTGGGAAAATCATATACTGGGCTGGGCCCTTTCCGGACGCGAAAATTATCAGCATCGGGGACAGAAATTCCCTCCGAGTCACCCAAAACTCCATCAAACAATGCTTTTCTTGTGTCAGAAGCCCAGAAAGGGCCGATGACTGCGTCTATACCCATACTGCCTACACCAACCGGGACTAGCATTGCTGCAAATGGGCCACCGAGCGGTGGTCTTAATTTGTTTGACACAAACATCCATTCTCCAACAAGTCCCGGCTCACCCAATGTGATGGCGACTGATCCTCCACTTCCTTTGGAGCCATGCCCTGAATCGTTTCTTCTACGGCCATTCTGGCTCATGCGTTGCATCTATCAGACTATGGCACATCCACGTGGTGGCTACCTATCCACAAAGCTTTTCGTCCCACGGGATGTCTGGCGCGTGAAAAATGTCAAAATTAAAGCTATTGAGGAAAAAGTATCAAGTTGCGATTTGTTGACGGCTGCCTTACTGAAACTGGCCCAAGTTGATACTTATGATGCCGACGCTGTTCTAGAGGAAATGCAGTCACTGGAAAGTGTACTTGACCAGGTGCAGATGTTACTCTCAAAGAAAGTTGGAAGTGAAGTCGGTGTTCAAGGAGCTATGGCTTTTCTAAGGTCTAGCTTGTCCTATGACGATGCGACGAATGTTGATAATCTGGTCTCGAAGCCGTCTACTGGCCCCAGCAAGTCCTATCTGACATCGTGGCGCAAACTACGTTCTAAAAACTCCGGCTTTGCTGTGGCGTCTTCGGCGTCCGCGTCGAAAGAGTCAAGCAGGGACTTCTCTACTAGTAATACCGTCCCGATGACTTCAGTGCCTGCTTCTCAACACGCCAAGCGCAACATCTCACAACTACAGCTCAACGGAGCCAGTAACTACATGGGAGCTCTGGCCCGGCTTTGTGATGCCGTTCAGGTTTTAGGTTCGTCAATTTCGTTGTTGTTTGGGATCCTGCTTTGTGCTTGAAAACTAAGTTGCGGAATGTCCAGATCAAATCGCCCAGCAGGTCGAAGATCCTGGTCTGAAGCATTCGTCTCCGACTCTTGTTGGTCTTGAGTTAAGCACCCGTCATGCTGCAGAGTTCTTTGGTTTCTACATCTGTCGCTTTGCCTTGAATGATATCGGATTGATGCTTGATAAATTTATCAAGAGAGGCAGTGAATGGGTTATGATCTGATTCAAAAATGCCTGATGATACCCTGTTTCATGTATCTGTCATATTCTCAGCTTGTACCGGAGTCTACATTGATCTGTGGCGTCACAAACTTCACATATAATGCAAAAAAAACAGCAAATCGTCATGCTACGTCTCATATCACAATTTCAAATGCACCGTAGAAGGGTTTCCTGTTGTGCAGTTCTCGCCTGGAACATGCCTCCGGGCTGGCATAGGAGTCTTGTTGCATCTCGCCCTAGGGCCCATGCTAACCTGATCGGATCATACTTGATCGATAAGAGCAATACTTAAGATTCGAGACCATATATCTAGATTTGCTTAGCGACTGACCTAAGGCTTATTTGCCGTTTTTTCTCGGCATCACGTATAATTTCTGCCGAGAGCTTGAGGCTTGGAGCAAGGTGCGCATATCGATTGACTTCCTCTATGACACCGCTGATTATCGCATTCACTCGGGCTGCTGAAGGTAGGAGTACTGAAAGCGCCGGAGACATGGTTGACCCCATAATCAGTAACGTCTGTGAAACCATAGAGAGGGCGCCTTGCCAGAGGTAGGGGAGATGGCCTTCACGATGGCGACTAATGTGATCAAGCTGGTTCAGTGTCGCGTCTAAGCATCGTCGACAACATTCTCTGACCATTGGGTCTGCGGATGTTTGTTCATGCTGGAGTACCGCCAGAATGTAGGGACGATAAATGATCGTGCGACATGCAAAGTACCGAAGTCTCAGAACGGTCTGGATAGAGTTCGAAGTCTGGAGAGAGGAAAGGGGGAATCGAACAGCTTGGGGAAGTCCTTCGTACCACTGTGAAAGCTGAAAATCCAGCTCGGAGGCAATCGGCCCAAGAGATGCAAGGGTAAGAGAGTTATCCTTTTGATAAATGACATGACTGACACGGTTAAGAAGCCTTCTCAGAGCAATTTCGGCCAAGAAGTACCAGAGCTCGTCGTGCCCTACTGCCGCATCTACAACGTGATTTTCCCGGGGTGTGCTGCTCTGATCCTCATCTTCGTCATCCTCTGGTTCGAAGCCACCTGGAAGATCAACAAGCTCCTCATAGTGCACAATGCCTGAGTGTGGAAGGTCTAGTTCTGCCAGTAGATCGCTTTCGTATAGAAGAGCATTCCAGTATAGTCTGGTGCTTAATTCCCTCCATTGAGCAGAAACACGGGACGGATTGCCAAACAGCAGCTGTAGCTTCAAGCTAGCACTCGAAAGTAGCGACCAGGCCTCCAATGGCCTTACCAAGTAGAATAGATAGGCAGATGCGAGAATGTTGCATTGGGCAGCGAGAACAGAATTGCGCATTGTAACGTTGGGCAGAAGGCCCCATGCGGCAACGAAATATGGCAGCCCTGGCGGGTCTGCCTCAGGTGAAAGATTTGATATGCTTCCATATTGACTTGCACACCCTAGCGCAAGGACCAAAAGAACGATACAGCTTTCAGCTCCCTCTTGAAAGCTAGATGAGATAGCTATATCATAATAACGAGGCCAGGTATATGGGTTAACGCAGGCGTACCAGACATTAACCCGCGCAAAAAAAGCCCGAGCATGTGCGACAGCGTTAGAGAGATCGAGTCCAACATAGTGTGGGATCCGAAGTGGCTCACGTGCCATCTCTAGCTGTAGTAGGGTGTGAGGATCGTAAGGTGCAGCAACAAGATCTCGGATGAATGGCCATTGTAATAGATTCAAGGCTGGCGTCGTGTGAAGCTTGGGCATTGTTGAGATGCTCGTTGGCGGGTTTGCCCAGGATCCAAGCCCGACAACCGATGTTCTGGATGACACTGTGGTGTCCTCTGTCATGTTGACGGCGGAATCGTCGTTACTTGCAGGATCATTGACAGTCTCAGTTGTTGTCGAAGACAGGGGTGAATTACTGGCCGCAGCAGCCATCCTCGAACGTAACAAGCCCTCAATTCTGTCCAGTTTCTCAATGATTAGCTTGTCCCCGGCATCTAGCTTGATGCCCGGCTCTCGATAAATACACTCCGCATCAAGGTCGATACATAGCTGGCATCTCGGACGTGCGCCATTGCATCTTGTTTTGCGTAAACGGCAGATCTGACACTATCACCGTCGTCAACTATGCACACAACGAAGTACTATGTTTGCCAAGAAAAGCACTCATTCATGGCAAGACCAACCTCGGGCCATCTTGGAGAGGTAATAGCACCATATGTCTTTAAAAAAGAGGAAGGGATCAAACAAAAGGAAAAAACATACTGCTACAGTCGCGCGTCGTCGAGGATAATCGACTGCTTCAGCATGATAGCGTTTGCGGGTTAAGGGGGGATCGAGCGCCTCCTCCATGTCATGAGCAGACATGACTGAGTGCTCGGTGAATTATCTCGAGGTTAAATCAGTTGCTCTAAAAGACCTTAGGATGCCGAGGGATGCCTTCGCTGAAGAAGCAGAACAAAGTCAAGTCTGCGTAGTATCGAGAGAAATGGCAGTCCCAGTTGCACTAGAGAATCGTCGGCTGGGGTTTCTCGAAAGAACAAGACGTGTCCTAGCCCATATTCATGAACTCCCCATGATACTGTCAGGGGAGACAGATGGGTCGAGGTAGTTAACTGAACTGATCACTTGCGAAAGTGATCAACTGCTCCGGCTGCACAGACCGAATAATACCCTCCAAACAAGCCGGATCGATAACCATTCGTTTACTAGTCTATACTAGCTTTAGTCCGGACACATATGATTCGAAGACAATCAGGTGTTCGGAGATTCTCCTTAGTAACTTACCGCGTAGATATATTACAGAGAAGGGGGCGGGCGATGTTGGCCCATGTTATGACAAGACTGAAGGGTCCGACCACATGGTAAGATGCCCCTCTTCCCCCGATTTCCCCGCAAGATGCAAAGAAAGAAAGCCCACGGTGACCGAAACCTTGGACCAATAAGTTCCTTTCATCAGGTGTCGGTTAATAAGTTGCATATGTAATGAGCCTGAAATGCAGGCAACATTTGGTACTCTTAGCTTCGTATTGTATACCATGTCATTACGATAAGAATGTGGCCTCTCACCTCGGTAGTGAGAGGTGGACTAAGAGCAACAGACGACCGGTTAGTAGTTTCAACTTGAATCAAGGTAGATTATCATTAACAGCTAACCTCCCACAAACCTATAAATGTACGGTGCTACATAATTATTGAAGCATAGTGTTGACAATCACCGATCACTCTCGATTATAAATGCATGTTGTTGTTGACGGTTCTTGACAGTCACTATAACCACCTAAGTTACTAGGTGCTAGGTAGCTACGTAAATGCTTGTAACTTAGTTATCATGCGGGGTAATCTCAGAAAATCATTGCGGAATCTGATTGCACAAGACAGACACGGTGACTACACACAAAGCCTAACTAATTATACAATACCTCCAACAACTTCAAGCTTCTCACATGCAGGAGTATGTACTTAGGTCTCATTAATCATTTGTAGATATCTACATTCGTGACATGTATTGGATACTCAAAATCCTCCTTTACTCGTGACGCTGATGACTGACCATTTATGCAGCTCGTTGAGACCCCGAAGGTGCAGAACCCTCCAAACCCGACGTCATACCGGCGCTATTCTTCCCCGGGGTTTGGCTGTCGACGGGTTCTGTCGTACTATGCGCGGAACCACGGCCCCGAGTGTTGTAGCTGCTACCAGCAATGTCGGAAGAATGGGCGCGATTGTCTCGACTGGGTTCAATTTCGCCAATCCCTGGCTCTGCAGCAGTAGAGGACCGAGTGTCGATGTTGTGGCGGCTACCGCCACCCACTGTGGCATGTGGGTCGAATGTCTTCGTGGTAGTTGGGCCAGCATTGCCAGAGATGGGAATCACGCCAGCGATACCGTTCACTTTCTCTCCGTTGAGGTCACTGTCCAGCGTTCCTTCCATGCGCTCTTTCTTGTTCCCTGCTGATGCGTTTGCTGCATCGCCAGTGGCATCGTGCTTCTGCGACTCGGTGCCACTATGGGATACGCGTGAGGCAGTGTTTCCCGACTTGAGGCCGGCGGTACCATCATCTGGCACGGCCTTATGGTATCCCACCTGTCCCGCCTGGGTCCCGCCACGATTGATCTCCGCCCGTGAGCTATCAGTGTTCCTCGACATGTGCTCTAGATGATGCTCATTCGAAGGCGATAGTTGGCCTGAGGTATGCCGACCTCCACCGCTGATCTCTGCGGACGGATCTGTATTGTATTGCGCCGCATGGACACTGCCACGGTTGGCCTTCGCACGTGCAATATCGGTACCCTCTGCCAGGGACCCCAGAGGGCTTGTCGAGGAGAGCATTCTATCCGTAGGGGTGGATTGAGTGGCTCCATTATCGAGATTCATCGATGGACTGAAAGTGCCGTGTGGTGCCGGGTGATGTGGGATGTTTTCCTGAAAACCTTGACCGTTCTCTGTCCCCAAGGTTACATTGGGCGATGCAGTGTTTGAATTAGACATTTCTTGGCTCAAAGGTCGAGCAGTCGAGGCACCGAAAGCGTTGTATGAGCTCTGCGTACCCGCCATGGGGTGAACACCGTCGATACTACTCCTCTGTGGCTTGTCGAAGGCCATGGGCTGAGCGCTGCTACTGTAAGAATTGCGGCTGGCATTGGCGTGTCCCAAGGACCCGGCACTATGGTTTGACTCCATGCTCTTGGTTCCGAAGGCTTGCTCAGTCGCGTCAACGTTGTATGATGGGTCATCAATAGGGTTCATAATGTTGGACATGATTGCTGCAGGTATGTAGATGCTATGGATCGAATGACAAGTGAAGCGTGGATAGCAGATAATATTGTAGGTATTGTGATTCGGGTGATATGTAGCTAATCAACGGAATTGTTGAGAGAGGCTATCATCCGATTTTATAGACTTCGAGTGCCTTGTTATGAGCTTGATGACGTAGAACAAGCCGGCTCTCCGGAAGTTCTCTGCAAGGATTCCCGATTCCAACCTGTAGATTACTGTGACTATCATTTCTTCGTCAAGTTCGGGGAGGCGCGTCAATCCCCATTTGAATTTGACACCTTCTTTGGACGAGCATTACCAAAGCCAATCAGGGTCAAGGACTTGCGGGCTTGGTGGCTATCTGGTATCATCAGCACAGCTAGTCATACTTAGTATGTTGTCATTGCGAGTACTCTCTTTTGATGGATTACTTCATATCCGAGCACCTACAAGGTTGCCCCTTTTGCTAATGATGTCATCCTTCACTGTGGGCCACTAGCCCTATGTGCAATGGCGTAATGTGGAAGGAAAATCAGATTGGCCCTCTTCTAAGAGCCCTGAATATATTGTGTGCAATTTCAGCTTGAGTCATCCCGTGACTACTCCGTAGAAATATCTTGGTCATACTCATTACCTGTAGTTTACCAGAAGTCCGGATCTAGTGTCGACTTCTCTCTGGAGACCGTCAATCTCTTTCTCATCTGAGCTTAGATCACCATATATGCAGACGCTCACTGCACATCACCATTTCTTTTCAACGGGACATCTTGAACTTACTATGTACACCTCAGGTCAGTTCTGCGTCACAAGTCTTATGATTATTTTGGGTCGGAGCCCGAGTATGTACACTGCCCACGAGGCACTATGAAATCTACTACGCATAACCTACATAGTATGGGACACCTGTAGGGGCCCTTCCGTTTGCTTCTGCAATGGCCTGCGCTCCTCTCTTGTTCTATCAACAATGGCTTTCATACCATTCCAAGCTGCCTACCATGTCAGTTCTCCTTTTAACCAACTGAAAAGAGAATCTAACACATGGATCCTCCGAAGTTTTTCCACTTGTAATATGGTTCCTATGTCTTTTCCTTATATAGTTTATGATTTGATTGTTTTTCACATACAGTCCCGCGAAAGTAGTCTGCGTACTCCCTCCACCAGGAGTTCGTCTTCTTCCTATTTAGGACTAGTGACTCCCTAATTCTGCCGGCAAAAGCAACCACCGCCAGGTCTTTGTACCAACCATATGCCTTAATAAACAATTAGGAGGGCGGTGCTGCAGAAAGTGGCGCCCGGAACCAAACCTGAACAACTTGGTGGGGGGAGTACGCAGACTACTTTCCTCCCACTGTAGTAGGCTGCTGTGCCCGCCCCATTGAGATACTAGACTGTGCAGGAAGCCAACCTTGAAAAGTCCCCCTGCTACTGCTTGTAGTAAATAGAAGTAATACTACACTTACTCCAGGGATTTCAAATATAGGCATCAAACTATACATTGCACATGTAACCCGGTTTCATATTAGGATTAGGGGGCTATTAGGGGTTTCCAAAGGCTGAAGATATGATTATCAGGGAATTTCTTTTAGAATATGCTTACTATTCTCTTTGCATTAACTACAGGTTCCCGGAGTTAAGTTGTCGAATCTGATTATTTAGGTGTAGAATCCTAAAAAATGTAAGATCAGGTATAACTACTACTACTTTGCCTATGGCAAGATAGTAGCAGACAAGGTAAAAAAGCCTTGCCGCCTACCGTAGCGTAGCAATTTCTCTGTTGTAAAGTACTGGTAATATACCTACGCCCGAGTGCTTGACCGCCTGCAGAAGGTAGTACCGCCTAGGCAGTAGTTAAAGGCCTAGTTATATCTACAACTATAATACATGCAGCTATAATGCAGCTACATCAAAGCATAAACATATTATGGCACGGTGTATCTATTTCTATTAGAAGCACATCTAAGCGCTCTTCCTGAAGAGAAACGGAAAGTTTGATTTCATCAGCTTTGGTCCTGTGTCTTCAAAAGCCTGATTCCTTGAGATCTGTTGCACGCGTACGCGTTCTCAGCACGTCGCGTTCTTATCTATCAGGCAGGGATTCGAGCCGCATTTTAATCCTTCGCTGTGCACCAACCTACCGTCGTCACCGGTCTAGGTCCTAGATTTTGATTGAATCGACAAGTGATTACGAAGGCTCAGGCCGTATAACCGGCTTTCTGAAAAGTCTACCGTTCGACAAAAACATGCCGCGACCCCCTACGAAGCGTAATCGACCGACACTTGGAATTTCGAAGACTGGGAACAGAGATCTTCAACGTGTCACGGACAATGCCGGGTCGACGAAGCATAATCCAAACGGCTCAAGCTGTGAATCGCCGGCTGTCTTGCGGATCACACAGCTCCCAGCATCTGATCTCGCGCTGCATCAAAAAGACCAGACGCCTGTAGTCAAATCCCATGATTATGCGATTGAATCATCACCCCTGGAAGAGCGTGGAGCGGGTAGCAGTCGTCCGGTCACAAGGGCTCGTGGATACTCATCTACTCTCTCCATCGTCGGTCGGAAAGGTGATGGGAATTCGAGGATTCCAGGCACACCTGCTTACGAGAGTTCGATATTGAGCAATTTTAGAAGACGACCACGGCAACCTAGCATTCTCCATATGATGCAAGCGAATGACGATTCTTCAGATCTGGACGATGAGGACTTTCTTGGAGGACTAAGTCCTGAGGACGAGTCCACACCCTTGGATATATCGAGGGGGAAATCACTCATCGCGGGGCACGCCGCATCATCGTCACCAGGCCTACCATCGCCTTCCAGCAGCAAACAGCGCAAGCGTACACCTTCGTCTGGGGATACTTGTTCTGCACCACGTCCGCAACAAGTGCGGCACTCGCCTCCTACGATGATAATGGGGCAGCAAGATGAGACCCCAATACGCTTATCCCAGCCTCTCATGTCTCCTGAGGCCACGAGCGCCACAATGGCGCCACCTATGAGCAGCAGTCCCTCCATGAGCCCCCCAATTGCACCTTCGCTGATCTATGCCGAACAGCCTCTAGCTCTTTCCAGAATCGCGCTGAGAATTCCAGCTGAGCGAAGCAAGGTGGGCACGAATTTACCCACGGTGGCCCTTCAGAATGAACTGCTACCTCGGAGAATCAAAATCCGGCGCCAATGCTGGGGTCCTAATCTAGAGACACAGAGCAGGCTGAGTGATGATAGCTGTTCCGAAATGGAGCATCATGAGAGTGACTTCCCACTAGGGAAGGCCACCCGGGCACCTCTAAGACACACTGGCAAGCCGGGCCCTCCACAGTCCTATGATAACCCACAAAAAGAGCAACCAACAAATGTCATGGCTGAGTCAAGAAAGAGGAATCGTGGTCAAACTCAAAACAACAAGAAGACAAGACTGGGGGCTGACCGGCTACCCTGTGCAACTACCCATGCATTTCAGGAGGGTCCTTTGTCACCTTTCTCGTCACCTTCTTCGTCACCTTTGTCCTCGCCTCTATCGTTACTGCCCGGTTCACAAGCCGATCACTCAAGTATGCCATCGGGATCCGAACCGCTCAAAGCTAGGTATCTCAGCGAGGAGTTGAGAGTGCAGGCACAGAAGTTTGCGGATATCGATAAATGGGAGTTGGAATATGAAGATGTAACTATTGCCGCTAGTCAAGGGAGCGATGCTTTCAGATAAGGATTTACATGTTTCTCTTACAACCATCATGCTGATCATATTCCTACCCCCCGAGAAGAACCCTTGAAGACGTGGATAGTTAGAGCGAAAGGCGCTCTGCTAATACATCGGGCAATCAAAATCTCCAAAAGCTCCCGACAACTAGTCACATTCGATGTAGAAATCCAGGCAACCTCGTTGGCTGCGTAGATCCAAAGGCGGCGGCGACTCAATGCCTTAGACGAACCCCGCAAAATGGTCCCCGCCCTTCGGTTGGGCCTTTTTCTGACTCACAGCCCTCCTACAAATCTCAACCTGATGGGAACCACTACTACAATTAGAGCCAACATGACTTCCCTGGAATCAATCCTGGCAGGTAAATACCCTGCAAAAGCTCATGCACGCCGGGTGGCCCAAGGTCTTCAATCTTATGGAAATGGCCGCCATGGAATTATCTACCTCGAAGCACAGAAAACTCGACTCATCGAGGACAATGACGAGGCCATGCCATTTAGGTACTGTGAAGCACTGGAATCCAGCTTCTGTACTTTTCAAGGCTAACAACCGTTTCATACTAGACAACGCCGACCGTTCTTCTATCTATCTGGATGTCTACTGCCAGATTCCTGTCTTATCTACAACATCGATCTTGATGAACTTACCCTTTTCATCCCCCCAGTTGATCCACAGGATGTGATCTGGTCCGGCCTGCCAATGTCTGCAGTAGAAGCGCAAAGGCGTTATGATGTTGACTATGTTCTGCCGACGCCTGCAGTGAACGCTACCCTATCTTCGATTGTTTCGAACAATGCCGGAAAAGTAATTGCTTTTGCGATTGAGGACCAAATTTCTGAGGGCACCGAGTTCCATGGGTTTTCTGAGGTCAACACCTCTTTACTCAAAGGTATCATTGGGACATCTCGTGTCGTCAAGGATGAATATGAGGTCGCGCTTCTGAGGAAGGCAAACGACATCTCCGCGAAGGCACATATTGCGGCCATAAAAGCCTCCAAGACTGCAACAAATGAGCGCGAGATCGAGGGTGCTTTCATAGCGACATGCATCGCCCACGGTGCACGCGAACAAGCATACCATCCAATCGTTGCATGCGGCGATAATGGTGCCACCCTTCATTACGGCAAGAATGACACTGACTTGACCGATCCTGTCACCAACCAGAGAAAAGGAAGCGTTTTGATAGATGCGGGAGGGGAGTACAGCACATATTGTGCTGATATCACACGAGTCTTTCCTTTGGGTGGCAAATTCCCGCTAGAAACCCGCCAAATATATGAACTGGTCTTGCAGATGCAGACAGAATGCATTGAGATGCTGAAAGAAGACGTTCAGTGGGAGGACGTACACATCCATGCCCACCGCATTGCTATTCAGGGACTGAAGAAACTGGGAATTCTTCGTGGCCACGAAGACGAACTGATGGAAAAGAGGATCAGCGTGGCATTTTTCCCCCATGGATTGGGACACTATCTGGGTATGGACACCCATGATACTGGAGGCAACCCGAATTATGAAGATGAAGACACGATGTTCAAGTATCTTCGTGTAAGGGGTCGCTTGCCTGCTGGTTCGGTTATCACGGTAGAGCCAGGCGTAAGTATAAGATCACACGTTGGTACCGCTCAAATTGTGTTTCTAACTCGTCTAGATCTATTTTTGCCGCTTCATAATCGAACCTTTCCTCGAGTCCACCACGACAAGCAAATATATTAACACTGATGTCTTGGAGAAATATTGGAGTGTAGGTGGTGTGCGCATTGAGGATAACATTCATATCCTGAAAAATGGATTCGAGAACCTGACTACAGCACCAAAGACCGTCGAAGAGGTGGAAAGATTGTCTTCATAGACCGTTGCCCACTCTGTACCTTTGTCAAAGATTCCACCTTCAGGCTGTCCTATCCTGCCTACTCTTCAATCGCCGGGCCTTGGTTGGAACATGGCCAGCCCGGGTCCTCATGTCAGTTGAATGGGTACAGATGTGTCTATACATGAGAAAGTCACTGCAGTCACATCATTGAACAATACGTGTATGAATATTGGCTCTTTGAATATAGGATAAGCGCTCTCGACAGAAGTTGGAGGAATATTACTGGAATATAAGAACTGAAAATGAGAGAAGCCCGGCAGCCTATGACTTGTCGAACCGAGGCACATTGCAACACCAAGTGGCTTTGTTCATAGAGCATCCCGGTTAATTCATACATATGCGCTCTTCTTCTCCAGCTTGTGGGGAATCATAGACCACTGCGCAGCCGCTTTCTTCCGCTTCCTTTCACCCCAGACTCTGCCTCTGCCCTATCATGTGCACGTTTCTCCTTGTGGTCTAACACAAGGCTGAGCACGTCATAGCAGAATTGAGGCACATCAATGCATAAATTCTTGAATTCCTCCTCAGCCTCGTGACGTAAAACATGGCTTCGCAAGGCCCAAAAGGTGGCCACAGGTTTGCGAATAGTGACATCATCAGCAGGTGTGTTTGTGTATACATAACGCGCATATGCAATTTCTCCTTGGGATGTGCTGTTGATACGATGGATCTTTGAATGTGCGAGAGCTTTCAGTGAAGGGATGCCTAGTGTTTCCGCCAAGGTATACACCCGCGCGTGTTTCAGTAACTGTTCTCCGCTGTCGTCAATCTCCCCGACTACCGTCTCTTGCTCGGTGTGAGTTTCAGTGTGAGAGGTACAATAGTCACGCGTGTACTGAAACTGTAGAAAATACCCGAAAGCCTCCACATTTTCCGCAGGAAGCTCGATGCGCCGCTTGGAGATGTCAGCGGTGAGTGTTCTTGCCAGAGAGTAACCAGGGTAAGGGATATGTGCTTACAGGACCAGATTCACCGAAGGCCGCGACCTTCTCCGTGAGAAGCGGAGACTCCAAAAGTAGACTTTGGTGAGCTGTCAAGATGGTCCTGGACTGTCCGGACCCAAGAACGAGTTCCACAATAGGTGACGTTAAGAAACTGAATAAGTTTGTAAGCACTTAAAGCCTTCTAGCAGTTGCGAACACGAGCAGTTGCGCCATCGAGTGACAACCCGAAGGCCCAAGTAAAAGAAAGCAAAAGACGAAGAAAGATGAGTTCTTACTCAAGAAATTGGAGGCCGGGGTTTCTTCTGGGTTCTAGTGGTTTTTGTTCGAGCTCAGGAGCTGGGCGTGCATCGTGCATCTCAATATCTGGTGTTATGCCTGTTTGCGATTCATTGACCGCCTTGGAAGCTGTCTTAATTTCAGGATATGGGGTTGCCGTGCTCTCAACATTTTGAGACTCGGTGTTTCGAGGAGTATGAGTTTCCTCTGGCACTCCAACTTGCACCTGAGGAGTATCCATTACCCAAGATGGATCTACACGACCAAAGCAGTAATTGAAGTGATAAGGAGCTGCGCGAGGATCAAGAAGTTCTTGAATGAAGTGGTATAGATGTCAAAGAACCCAATTATGGATGCAGGAGAGGAATTCACCTAGACCAGCACAGGTCTGTAACGCGTTAGTGGTTGGCTGCTGTAATATCCTGGACGTGTCAGTTTAACCGGAAACGGACGATAAGTTATGGGGCTTAGTGCCAAGTGCAGTACCCGAGGCAGAAGTTTCAGCATACATCCTTACAGTACAATACTCAATGATCGGCTAGTAAAATCCAACTGACAGAACAGACCTCATAGATAGACCTTATAGTGTTTCCGGCCACAACCGGCCCTTGCCGATGTCCACTTGGTAACCTACCACGTCAAGGCCGAATTGCTGCCTTTCTCGAGTAGAGTACATCTTAAACCGCTTATTTGCGGCGCAGTTCACGTTAGGGTATTTTTGGTACCTACTACCTCCATCGACCCAGTACTAGTACCAGCCAGTCGCTTGCCGTCACTGCCACAGAAATACTACTTGGGGAGGGGCAAGGGACGCAGGCATATTTTCCTTAGTGCCGTTCATTTATTCTTGTTATGCACGGCGTTTCTCTGGCCCTACTCTGGCGAACAAGCTTTTCGCGGGGAACAATTCGCACGTCTCCATCTACTCTCAATTTCAGACCCCTCATTCGCATATCCTGGAGTGTTCAAATCTTTCGAGCTTCCACACGTCGTAGCATGGCGACTATCGTCAATGTCCCGAGGGATCCCAATACCCTCAGCAATTACCACAATTGGCGGTGCAACCACATTACTGCCAATTTTGATATTTTGTTTCATGAAAAAAAGCTTGTGGGCAGCGTCACTCAGACGTTCCAGTCAGCCACCGATGGTGAGTCGCAAGAGATCGTCTTGGACTCAAACCATGTGAAAATCGGTAGCATCACCCTGGATGGCAGGCCTTTGGCTTGGGAGCTTCTTCCGCCCTCCGACCCATACGGCAGGGCGTTGAAGATCAAACTCGACCGGAGTGTGAAGAAGAATGAGACGATTGACATCGAGGTATGTGCCTCACCGGAGAGTAACCCCAGCCTTAGCCTAACATACAGAACTTGTGCGTAGATTGCTCTTCAAACCACTGAGAAATGCACTGCCCTTCAGTGGCTGACACCGGCGCAAACCTCTAATAAAAGGCATCCGTATATGTGTGGGTTGCTTTCTTCCCGTCCTAACAACGAGAAACCCTGAGGGTCATTTCGTCTACTAACCACGCATGCTTGTCCTTCCGACAGTCTCTCAATGTCAGGCGATTCATGCCCGGTCTATTTTTCCATGTCAAGATACACCTGACGTCAAGTCCACCATTGATTTCAACATCTCGTCACCATTGCCCGTGATTGCGAGTGGGCTGCCAGTCCGTGACTCATTGGGGACGCCACTACCGAACGACAGGTCACTGTATCGCTTTCATCAGCGAGTGCCCATTCCGAGCTATCTTTTCGCTCTGGCCAGTGGGTAAGCGTGCCTGATAGACCTCAGTGTGAACTAGCTTTGATAAGTGGATCACTAAATTGACCATCTGCAGTGATATTTCCGAGGCAGGAATTGGACCCCGAAGTATTGTTGCTAGCAGCCCCGACAAGCTCGGCGAATGCCAATGGGAGCTTGAGGCCGATACGGAGAAGTTCATCGAAGCAATCGAGGTGTGTACGCAGTCAGAATTCAGGTGCTATTGCTTTATAACACTGGCATAGGGAATTGTCTACCCATACGCTTGGGGGAAGTACAATGTCTTGGTCCTCCCACCCAGCTTCCCCTATGGAGGAATGGAGAACCCGGTGTTCACTTTCGCCACACCCAGTATCATTTCCAAGGTACATCGTTGTCGATGGATTCCAAACCGATTAATTGCCCATGGGTGCTAATCTTGACCAGGACAGGGAGAACATCGATGTCATTGCCCATGAACTTGCGCACAGCTGGAGTGGTAACCTTGTGACTAATGCTTCATGGGAGCATTTCTGGCTCAACGAGGGTTGGACCACCTACTTGGAAAGGCGGGTAAGTCGAATCGTTTCCACTTCTTTTATCTACCATTTGTCGACAAAGTGTATAACCTGCCTTTTCAAATATTAATATAGATCCTCGCTGTGGTGTAAGTGCTAGAATCTTGTGTACTCTTCACACCGGTGCTAACTATTTTAAAGTCATGGCGAGTCGTATCGACACTTCTCTGCTATCATAGGCTGGAAAGCCCTCACAGATTCTGTCGCGCATTTCGGACATGACCATGAATTCACAAAACTAGTCACGGATTTGAAAGGCAAAGACCCTGATGATGCATTCTCTAGTATTCCATATGAGAAGGGATTCAACTTTCTTTTCTATCTGGAGAATATGATTGGAAAGCATAAATTTGACCAGTTCATCCCTCATGTATTTTGCCTGTCGCCCCAGCGAAGATATTATGCGCATATTCTGATTCCTCTCGATACAGTACTTCACAATATTCAAGGAGAAATCCTTGGATTCCTATCAATTCAAATCGACCATACTAGAATTCTTCGAGTCTGACGCGGAAGCTTCTAAGCTCTTGAACGAGCTTGATTGGGACAGATGGTTCTACGCGCCGGGCTTGCCTCCAAAGCCGGATTTTGATACTTCGCTTGTTGACGTTGTTTACAGCCTTTCAAACAAGTGGAAGGTCCTTCCTGGCTCCTCTTTCAAACCACACCCTAGTGATATTGATGGCCTCACAGCCAATCAGATGGTTGTCTTCCTGGAGCAGGTGCTTCTCTTCGAGAGACCACTGACACCGGAGTTGTCGAGGCTCATGGGCGATGTTTATGGACTTGCAAAGAGCGAAAACATAGAAGTCGCCAATCTCTATCTCCAAGTCGGCTTGAAAGCTGGTGACAGCAGTGTTATTGGACCAACAACGAAACTGCTTGGTAGGATTGGTAGGATGAAATTCGTGAGGCCTTTGTACGCAGACCACCCATTCGCAAGTAAAGGATTCAGGCGCTGATTTAATTTACAGGTATAGAAGCTTGCAGAAGGTCAATCGCCCAGTCGCTGTTGACACTTTCGAGCAGAATAAGGCCTTCTATCATCCTATATGCCGCGCCATGGTCGAGAAGGACTTGTTTGGCAAGAAAGATGCCTGATTTAAACTGTCATCCTGTCATCCTGTCATTATGCTTTGATCACTTATTGCGACCCAGGGGGCCGGATAACATCGACGAAACCACTACTTCATACTAAGCGCACATCTAGTGCAACTTTGATTTACATTTAGAGGACCTCTGGACCGTATGTTTGTTAGACCAAAAATTGTTCGCTGAAAATCGTCGGACAGAGCGGGACATGGCCAATAATTCAAGTGACCAGACCAACCCAGTGATAATGAAGAATAATTGATTAGAATACATCTACAGCCTGCCAGAAATAGTGGGTTGGAATCTGGAATGCACGGCTAACAAACCAGTCATTTCCCGTAAACCAGCTTCTTATCTGCCTGAGAGAACGAGAATATACCAGGCCGGCCTCCCTTTTCACGTCCTAACTGAAGTGCCAGATCTGGCTCATTCACGAGAGAGAGATCATGCAGCACCCGTCGCATATATGCGACAACAAGGGCAACCTTGGTCCAATCCATTTCATTGCCGTTAGGAGCGGTGTGACCGGCCTTCCACAAGTTCCTCCAGATAGCAGCGCCGAGTACAGCATCCCCCTTGATTATGCCTTCATCGTAAGCTGCCAATGCACCACGCCACTGGATGAATAGGTCCTTGAGAAATTTATTCCTGATAGCACGACTGGTCAACCCATGAAGTACATCCATGCGATGCTCGGCATTGTGCGAGAAGTGGTCGATCAAGTGTTGTGAATAAGTTTGAAGGCTTTCATGTGATGGCAGAGCACGTAGTCGGGCAGTCAATAGGTACATGTGCAGGAAAGTGACTTGTGACCATGTGGAAAATGTGGGTAAGAGCCCCAATTCTGGCGAGAATTCATCCGTCAATATGAGATGGAGATTGATTCCACCGAATGTGAAAGTAAACTGACCTTTATACCACCATCCTTCGCCAACCCCAAGATCCTCTCCGGCATCAGTCTTGGGAACCTGTCCTCCTTTTTTATTCAACTGCGGTATAGTGTATTCTGCTTGGGTAGAACAGGCCTCGAATAGCTTCTGAGTCAGACCATACGCAACGTATGTCTCTGCAGGTGTGCCAGGGCGTGAAGCAATGGCCCGCGCTAGCTGTGATGAAGCTAGAGCACTTTGTGAGTGAAATCCAGACACTGGGTATGCGGTCTGCTCAAGCCGTTGGCTAGCGTAGCGCTTCTTCAGGACCGAGGAATCGTGAGTCACTTTTTGCGTAACACTGCTAGCGCTGCACATAGATCGATAAGAGGCTAGGCATGGTCTAGATAGTCTGTTGGGAGAAGGAACCTTACAAGATTCGGTTTAATTGGCTATGATCAGAGCGGTTCAGGGGTATTGTAAAACATACCTTGGATTTTGAATACTGCGCTAGACACAGATCCTGTATCTGTATAGATCTTATTGCACTGGACGGCATTTTGAGGGTCTGCATGCTACTGGTATCCAAGAGGCTAAGCCTGTATCATGCGTAAAAAGTTCGAAGTTTGCTTGAGATAGAGCTCGTTGTCATCATAGCTTGGCATCTGTGTTTGCACTATTTGCACTGCCCTTGCTTTTTAGTAATGACGAACCAATAAGATAGCAGTTTAAATTCACAGAGCATTCGGGTGGGTCAAGTCGATGCAGCCTCCCATGTTCGAGTACGTACTCCGTACAGCAATTCGAACGCCACGAGTACACCATTTACCGCCAGAAAATTATTGAACGGAAATTTTGGCTCACTCCGCTCTCCGCTGGATTATAACTTTATCTGTGGAGTCCTTGTGGATCGCTCATAGTACCTGTCAAGTCCCGCTATAACGAATTAAGAGGCAAATTCTTGGGATATAGCGCATTGCTACAACAGTCCAATAGATTTTACTATATAAAATTTGCTATATTTTTGTATTACATTACCAAATTCGGACCAAAAAATAACCTTTTCTACATATAGGATTATATTAAAACAATAAAAATAGTCTTAATAAAAGATTTAGATTAAAAAACAAATGTAAAAAATAGACAGCTATTAATTAGTCAGCAGATGTTGTAAAAAATAGAAAGTTATATTATTATTTACCTATAAATAGTAAGCAGAGGGACTATTAGCTTCTGTAGTATTTCAATCAATTACAGAAGTCTATGCAGAGGGCGGCAGATCAGCTGAAGAGAGCAGGCGGTAAGATTGTAAACTATACAGAACCTCATTGCCTACACATGGAAGGGATACAACAAATTGATGTAGCGGAAATCCCTGTATACGTAACAGATTTATACACACGTCACTATTATTTCGTTATAACGGGACCTGACAGTATTACACCGCGCTCCAAAACTATGCCCGATAAGTTATGGCACACGTATATGCCAATTAACCAGATGCAGCTGTAGGTGAGATGGGGGAGCCACAGGCCAACAATTTGAAGAATCCATTATGTACAGATTGTATAGCCCAACCTGGTCTCATTTAAAGAACGGTTATGGAGGTTTGAGAACATGTGTCATTCCCTCGAGTATAAATGGAAGGAGAAGAGGGTGCGGAGGGATTAAATTGGATCCGAACCCAGGCCTGTCAGTTGGCCACAAGGACAGCCCTTTCTAGACGTGTATCAACAAGGCGGAGGAATCCTGAAAGTCTGTTGGGGTCCCTCATAGCGGCTGGAACATCGTCCCTCGTTAAGGCCAGAGCCTTGAAATACTCATTAACCATATTACAGCATGCAAAGCGACGTAGCAACCTACCTGTCTCACCGTTTCATAATCACATTCTTTGGACTGATATTCTCGAATTACCTCCCCAGTACCAAACTCAACATAGATCCTTGTATCCCTGAGTCGGAACAGAACATTGTCGAGTCTCAAGAAGAAGCGGGCGAGCAACAGGAGTCTAGCCGGCATAACACGTATTTTACATGAGAACATGGAGATACCGTTGTCAGCTAGTTCGTCCTCATAAAGAACCACATCATCGTAGAACAGAATCGGATCTGGCCGCTTGAGTAGATCAGTTGGTATACGTTTGGTCGTTGCCTCAAACGGTCGACTACCAGGGCCGAGAGTCCCCGCGTAGTCCGTGCTGTAAGACCAGTCGAAGGGCTTGACAATCTCTTTGATACCCTCATGAGTCTTTTCTCTAGAAGAAGTTAGCCTCAGTGATTGCTAAAAACTTTGTGCAAGATCGCTTGGTAGGAAATGAATTCATTCGATTACCTGCTTCTTTGCCATTGCTTCGAGTAGGCGACTTGTAGCATGGATTCGCCAGATTTATCAACTAGATCCAAGGCGTCAAATGCATTGAATGCAATTTTCCATTGAGTCCCCTCATGCGCAATTTCAACATAGTTGTCGCCAAAAATCATTTCTGGGGGGGCGATCCCTAAATCCTTTGTCATCTTCTCTATAGGCTCTGCTTTTAATATCGGGAGTGTTTGAGTAGTGACCGTGAAGCCTTGGATCGCTATTGATTTCGGCCTCTGACGAAGCGGCGAGATTGAGACTGAGTCCGCCTCGCCGGAAGGCCTGCAACTTGAAATGTTCATTCTGTATCAAAGAAGCCTCCAGTTGGTGGTGTATGATTCGTCTGAGCAGCTATTCACTCCCCCAGACTGAAGCAGGTCATACCCCGCGGGTGTCGGAGGGAGAGGCGGACCGACGAGTTGCTGGGGCGACCGAGCATATCCTTGAAACTGATAAACATCCGTGCGACTATGGTTCCACTCAATTCCGACTTGTTTCTCAATACGATTCGGTACTAACTCTCGTCTTATGTGGTTTCCAAGACTGTGAGCTTGAGCCAGAACTTCCAACAAGTTCAAAGTCTGTGTCGACACTGAGCTGCTAGCTTTTTTAAACCCTCCATCGCGAAAGTCATACCTGCTTCACACTCACAAGCAAATGGCTACCAAGACACTTGAAGCGCGCCTCGAGCGTCTTTCAGTCAAAGAGGAACATGAGAGCGTGCAAAATGGCGGCGCCTATCAAAAGTCCAAGGTAGTCATATTACCTACACCTCATATTTGGTGGACGCTGCTAATGATCTTGACAGAGCACACTGTCAACAGCCATGCCCCCTACGAGTGCCGGACAATATAATGGCTCCGGCCGATCCAACTTACTCAAGCTGGCTTTGCAGAACACCAATGAAAATAAAGTGAACGCAATGAACGTCAATTTGTCACCGGTTAAGAGTTCTCAGAGTACGCTATCACACCGTAATCTCGACGAGAATGGGGAGCAACGACACCTAACTCCACTCTACGACCAACCATCCCCCAAAATGTTACACTTGGGCATGTTTGAGATTGGCAAACCTTTAGGAAAGGGGAAGTTCGGTCGAGTTTATCTCGCCAAGGAGAGAGCCTCCGGCTTCGTATGCGCACTCAAGGTACTGCATAAATCCGAATTGCAGCAGGGTGGAGTGCAGAAGCAAGTCCGACGAGAGATTGAGATACAAAGCAACCTTCGTCATCCGAACGTCTTGAGGCTTTATGGCCACTTTCATGATAGCAAACGGATTTTCCTTATTCTCGAGTTTGCCGGTCGAGGAGAACTGTACAAGCATCTCCGAAAAGAACATCGATTCCCTGAGTGGAAGGCTGCGCAGTACATTGCTCAGATGGCTGCTGCTTTGAAATACTTACACAAAAAGCACGTCATGCACCGAGACATCAAGCCAGAAAATATTCTTGTTGGGATTCATGGTGAAATCAAGATCAGTGACTTTGGGTGGAGTGTTCATGCACCTAACAATCGGAGGCAGACAATGTGCGGGACACTGGATTACCTGCCCCCTGAGATGCTTAAACCCGGGTCTCAGGACAATTACTACAATGAGAAGGTTGATCTGTGGAGTCTCGGTGTCTTGACATACGAGTTCCTAGTTGGGGAAGCGCCCTTTGAAGATACACCTGTCATGACGCAGCGAAGAATTGCCAGAGCCGACATGACCGTACCGTCCTTCGTGAGTCCGGAAGCAAAAGATCTAATTAAAAGAGTATGCAGAAGTCCCATATCCTAGCCGAACCCTTCTAACAACCTTTTAGTTACTTGTACTCGACCCAGAGAGGCGAATTTCTTTGGATGAGATTCAACGCCATCCATGGATTCTCAAGCATTGTGTTAAGGAAACGAAGCGGAGTTCTGGTACATCAAAGGATGTCAAAGCATGACTGTACTGTCCGGGCATTTCAGGGCGTTTCGGAGTTCAGAAGTTCTTACCTTTCTGTACTGTTTCCCTTCACATTGCCATGGTCCACGACCATGGGATTGATTACACTGGCGTTTACTGTTAATATGGATGCTGGTCTTCCTGGATTAGCGATGGAGCTTTGATCGATCTTACTGGCACTTGGACTTCAAGTTAAACATACGACAAACACTTCGAGGAAGAGTTTTGGTGGGAGCGGACGTCCGTAACTAGCGATAAATCTCATCAAAGGGGCGAGTATCTCTAAAGCAACTGTCCCAAACTTCATTTACCACCTTCTCGGCGTGGGCTTCATCTTTGCATCCCGGCCGTGCCCGCACCGACAAGATCGCTCTTCGTCGTACACATTCTTGGTGCTGCTGTGTCAGTTTCCACTGACCCCTTCGGAAAAACTCTCGTGCCCATCTGCATTCCCCGCTCAGCGAGCTGGCTCGAATCTACCCACGATTAGTCATTTTTATCTACCCGATGGCGCAGGTGGCTTGAGGGTATGGCTCTTTACCTCTGTACAAGCAGCGTGCCTAAGATTGTCTGACCAGTCGACTTTGAACCTGAGGTGATCATAGGCATGGACCATCTCATGTGCTAATGTATCTTCTAAGTGGCTCTGGTCCTTCATTTCATTTGCGCAAAGCAGAATACCGTAGTCAGGATCAAATCCCCCTGCCTTTCGACTGGTACATCGGCGACAGTAGATATTATGACTGGAAAGATTACCACCTAGCTGGCGGATGCTGTCGCTCATGAATCGGATCACCGGACCTTCAAGTGAATTCAATCAGCGGGCTGTGTACAACTTTGAACTCATGTGTCTTCATTGCAGGCTGGCAGGCAGATATGGATGTGACCCACTGAATTGCAATAAATAGTCTCGCTGATCCTCACAGCGCTTGCAGTCCCCAGCTTCATTCCGCGTGTCGCGCGCAATGCGGAATTGTTCTTTGCCCTCATCGGTCATTCTATCGGTCAGGATAGCGAAGATATTGCGCCATTGCGTCCAGGTATCGTCACCAGGAATAAAGCCACTGTTGTTAGAGGTTTCATTCTTTGATGAGGTATCATTTGCCCGAGAGTCCGTCATCATGTATGAGCACTGGAGGAGGGATATAACCTAGATATCCTCCTTCTATTCAAGAATCGCTTGTCCTTGTATGCTCTCGACAATTGATTCCGCGGCAAGCTCCGTGGAGTAAATGGGCGGTGGGAGCTGGCAGAAAAAGGGTGTCTTGGTAGGTGGGTCATTGCAGCTGACTCACAGCAACAATCAAAGCCCAAGTTAACAGCCAACTTCCGACGCCCCACAATAGCACTGTGTAACAATCATGGTTGGGAGCTGATCATTCAATAATTTGAGTCTCAAGTCACAATGGCTCTTAAGCGTCTGACCATTGTCATCAAGCTAGGTGCGGATTATGCAATGATTGACCGAAGGCAGAAACTAACAAGAACTTGCTGCGCAGGAACCAGTTCCATAGTAGACGAGAACACCCATGAACCTATACTGTCCATCCTTACGCTCATAGTCGAAACAGTTGCCAAGCTTCACAGAGAAGGTCATAATGTTGTTCTTGTTTCGTCTGGCGCTGTTGGTGTGGGGTTGCGAAGAATGGATGTGGAAGAGAGACCTAAACACTTACCTCGGATACAGGTATACATTACGGAATTGATTTGTGCAGGCGTTAGATTCGCAAGTACTGACCATGGTGTTCTAGGCATTGGCTGCCGTTGGCCAGTGTAGGCTGATGAGTCTTTGGGATGGTCTGTTTGCGCACCTGCGTCTCCCAGTAGCGCAAATCCTGTTAACTAGGAACGATATTGCCGATGTAAGCATCGTTGTGAACTAACTAGAATGTCCATTATCCCTAACAAGATAATAGAGAACACAATACATCAATGCTCAAAATACCTTCTCGCAGCTATTCGATATGGGTGTAATCCCGATTGTCAATGAGAACGACACTTTGGCTGTTTCCGTAGGTTGACCCTTCGTCTCCACCTATTGCGTCGCGGAATGTCATACTGAGTTTACCAGGAAATCAAATTTGGTGACAACGATACACTATCAGCGATCACAGCAGCGATGGTCAAGGCCGATTACCTCTTCCTGATGACGGATGTTGATTGTCTCTATACTGCTAATCCCCGTACAAATCCCGACGCGCGCCCAATTGAAGTTGTCACAGATATTTCAACCTTAGAAGCAGATGTTTCATCGGCTGGATCATCTCTAGGTACCGGTGGTATGGGTACCAAGATCATCGCTGCAAAGCTTGGAACTAGTGCTGGCGTAACGACTATCATCACCAAGAGTTCGAAGCCCGGAAATGTGCATGATATTGTCAATTATCTCCAACAGCAGAGTCGAAGGCCTATTGTACCAGATGCAGCGGCCGAACCAGTCGAGAGCTTTGAGGTATCAAGCAGCTCTCGGGCTTCGCCTCCGCTACACACGCGATTCATTCCATCAGAGAATCCAATACAATCCCGATCATTTTGGCTTCTTCACGGAATGAAGCCCAGGGGTACAGTCTATATAGACCACGGTGCATATAGTGCTATTCAGAAAAAGGCCAGCCTGCTCCCTGCCGGTGTAATCGGGGTGGAAGGTCACTTCTCTCAACAAGAAGTGGTAAGGTTAGTCGTGATTGGGAAAGTTTCTCCCGACTCTCTCGATGGTGATTTCCTTCATCATGGACAAGAGCCCAAGGAAGTTGGACGTGCCTTGGTCAATTATGGCAGTATCGAGATTGAGCGCGTTAAGGGCCACAGGAGCACACAAATCCATACGCTACTTGGGTATGCCGATAGTGAATATGTGGCGCTCCGTGAGAATATCGCCTTTCTGCAAACCGATGACAGCTCAGGTCGGTAGATCCCACCAGAGTCTCAAGCTAGGTGCTGATACTGAGTTTGTTGATCACATTCTTCGAACACTTGAAAGACCTATTCGGTAGGCTTCTAGCCTTTCCTCCCCCTCTCCCATTCTAAGTCTTAAGCAATACAGCTGCGCCGAAAGGCTCAGTTAGACTGAAGATTATGGTGCTACCATTCCTGGCTAAGATTACCTAGTTTTCATTAATTGACAGTAGCTTATGATGGGATCTCGCAAGGATATATATCATGATCAAGTAGGTCTTTCTTGATTCTAAATCCATTACAGTGATCAAACGACCATCCATCATTACGATAACATGGGTAATTTCCGGTCAATTTTAGGAGCTTTGAAAACCGGTTGCCCGGGAGAGTGCACGAGACGTGCTCAGTAATGATCCGCCTAGCGGTTGAGAGACATGAGCAGTACGATAGGGACATCAACGTTTATTGAGATGGCGTGAACGTTGTTACGAGACTCCAAACCTAGTCTTTCCATCTTTCTAAGAATCGCCTCATTTGTGCGTCGTGCAAATGTGGTGCGGGAGAGGCCTGTACGGGATCCCGTTAGCTCAATCTTCGAGGTCATACCACAGTTGAGAGGACATCTGCCGGGGCAAGCAACAACCCAAACATACAGTATTCTCAATGCTGGCCACGGAGTATGTCACAGAGGCGGAGAGGGTGACCTGAACGGTTGCTGGGGGGAGATAGGTTGTGGCGATGGTATATGCGCTTGCTGGAAACTGGGGAGTCGGCAATTTGGCTGGAATCGTGCTTGCAGGCTTCTTGGCCATTGGCGCATATCTGGTAGGCCCGGTCTGCAACTGATATGGGACTGTAAAAGCCTCTTCTACTTGTCTCTTTCGTAGTTCATGATGTCTGGACATTTCACAATCCGAAAGTGCAGAGTTGTTAATTGTGGGAGGCAAGCTGTGCAAGACGGATGTTGAGACAGGACTGGTCATATTAGCGATAGTGAACTGTCCAGAAACATTAATGACGGAGGCACCCGCGCCCCAAGAGACCATTTTTAAAAAGCTGTCAGTGATGCCAGAGTTAGCGATGGGCTGCTCATTATGACTTGATGGTATGGTGTGGCACAGCAGATGCACACTGCCATATTCCCCTTACTATGTATTTGCACCATTGTCCCTTATGCTGCGGTCGAGCGTGAAGGATAGTGAGTTACCCCTCGCAAAGAGGTTACCTCTCGAAAGCAGAGCGACATCTTCCTGCAGCAACCGCAATGGTCAGTAGGCTTCCGATAGATACATAAACTATATGTAGGGACAGGAGCCCCACATAAGTGCCCGCTACCTGCCCGCCGGCGCAGAGATAGAGATCATAGTGTAGGAGGTCAGAGATCAGGGGAAGCCTGCCTGATTCCCTCCACTGGGCCGTAAGAACGTCCCCGATTCGTAGGCTGGCACCGGGTTGTGGAATCATAAACTCCACATCCGCAAGTGCTTGTGGAAACAACGCAGCGAGAAGGAACAATATTAGGTGCCTGATCATCATATTGTGAAAAGAGAGAGTGTGTGTGAGAGAGATTGGAAACGAACAGTATTCTCAGTTTCTCAGAGGCAGATGATGCTGCGAGTTGACTTGTGGCATTTACTTACAAGACAGAGAGATTAAACAAACAGAGTAAACTGATGAATCGAGAAATCAACGCCCTTGTGTTGCCCCTGCAATCAACGGCATGCTGGCCCCCTCCATAGCATTTGCACCTGGCTGGCAGCAAGGGACGCGGCCCCGAAAGGGAACAGTGCACGTAGCGGGCTCATGGCCGTCAGGTATTAACATCCTACTAGTACTCTGCATGATTAGACTTCATACACTAACCCCATTCCTTGAGAACTTTTCAATGAAGGTGGTATAATAATCCCTCTTAGATACCGATAGGTACCTGCCTGGGCGTCACTCCCTTCCCCAGGAAGACCACTAAGCTTACCTCCATCCAGCCTTGATCTTGCTACGTACCTTACTGCCAGGGTAGGTACATTAGAGACTATGGAACGGTGGTTGAAAACTGAGCCTTTCGGTTGAAGGCGGTTTTAGCGTCGGTTGTGAAAGGCCCACTCCAGTCGAGTTAATCTTATCCATCTAGCTACGTATGTTCCAATGGCTCACTCGTACTCTCCGCCCTGCTCCTCCTCTTCCTGCTCTCAACCACTGCACTCCTCCTTTGTCACGGCGCTAATCATCTTGCTCAACGGCCTAGAAAGACCTCTATCTCACGGGCGCATCCAGTCGAAATGCGTTCGCACGGGGACTGGGTTTCGTTAGAAGGCATAGCTACTAGCTTGCTCGACGGCAGCCCTATCGCGATTGCTATTACGGTCTTCATCGCGTTCGGACTGCCCGTCCTATTGCATCTTCTTTTTTACCGAACGGTTGCATCTCCGCCGTCTAGCAATTTCTTGCTCTTGGGCCCTAATGGAGCTGGAAAGACCGCTCTCTTGACTCTGGTCTGACTTCCCTTGAAGGCTCTTTCTCTCGCTCTCCCACGTCTAGCTGACACACTCCTCATGAGTAACAGCTCGAAGCAAAGTCGTCTCCTGCTCGTACAGATATTCGAGTCACTCATACGTCCCAAACATCTACTGCAGCTACCATCAGCCTTCCCGCCTCGGTGCCGACCGCATCAAATCGCTACAGATCGGTGAATGATACTTCGTTGAAGGATATTGCCAAGAACCCGGTCAAATATCGGTTGATGGACACTCCTGGTCATGGAAAACTCCGTGAATCCCAAGCTATCTCGCAGTTGCTCTCCATGTCGGCCTCAAAGGATGCCAAGTCGAAGTTGCGTGGTGTCTTGTACATGGTGGACACTGCAGTACTTGCCAACCCCGAAACCCTACGGGATACGGCCAATTACTTGTACGATGTGCTCTTGATCCTTCAGAGACGTGCTTTGAGTAGGGGAAAGAAAGCAGCATCTGAAGTTCCTGTGCTTGTGGCTGCCAACAAACAAGACCTCTTCACCGCCCTACCGCCTGGATCCGTGCGGGAGAAATTGGAGGATGAGATTAGTAAACTCCGGAACTCTCGCAGCAAAAATCTTCTGGATGCTAGTGTTGACGCTGGCATTGCCGATGACGAAGACGATATTCTAGGCAGCAGCAACCCCCATGATAGATTCTCGTTCCAGTCTTTGAAAGACGAAGTTGGTATAGTAGTAGACATTGTCGGAGGAGCAGTCATGGGCGATGAAGAGAGCAATCTTGGATCTGGTGTGCGCAAATGGGAGGAATGGATAGGTCAATGCCTGTAAGGTATACGCTCACGGCTGACGGAGTGCGAGGTCTATCATTGCCGGCGAGATCTCGTCAACCCCAGAAGTCACATGAGCCAATGGGCATACTTGCCAATATACTGGGCAAAGAGATGGGAAGAACAGAGCAATGAAGGAACTACCTCAGTGATCATATGTGTATGCTTTGGTGAAGGGATTGTAGACTAATTCGGAACAGGCATCATCCTTAACATACCTTATATATTGTGTGACTTAAGGATTGGATCATAGAGTATGGTGGATTTAAACAAGCCTACTTCACGACACAAGGGATATAACATCTCAGTGGTAACAAGGATCTAGGCATATTCTGGTTTTGCTTGGCTAATGGTAGCTAGACTACACCTTAATTAGCAGAGGATCATCTGCGGAAACAAGCTTGCAATCAGGACTGGTGACGGTTAGTTATTCCTGACTCAAACATCATCTCCACGTTGTTGGCCCTAGAACGATGTTCAAAACCCTGGGTTTCTTAGTCAGAAAACATTCAAGATTGACAGTGTTATCATGATCACAAATAGGAGTATCCAGCTGTAGCGTGCAAGCTGCAGTACTTGAGGGCTTTACAGCAACAATTGGTGCCAGAGGACCCTCTGACATCTCAAACAGGTACTAGCTGTACGATCCGACTACTTTCAAAATTCGATTCAATCCCACTGAGATGGCGGTAGATTTCGCTAATAGTTAACTTGCCAGAAAAGATTTGCCGTCACTGAAACAGTCTTCTCATTAAAAAATTGTGCTGAGCGGCCAGATTTCTCTGTGTGTGAGTTGAACCGGCAGTTTATCAATCTAAAATGCCATCGCAACAAAGAGTGCACATCATAGTGCCAGCATTGTAAGGTTCTTCAAGAGCTCTACCGAGTTGCATCCCGTAGAGGAAAATTGCAACAACTGGCAATCGCTGATGTGGTTAATTGTAGTTCTGACTCTGGCGATAATACCAACCTTATACAACCCAATAGCATGTGAAATCAAATCTAGAAAAGAGAATAAAAACAGTCATGTTTCGTTTCTCAACCTGAGACTATCTCCATAAGACTCCACCATATACTCCACAACACCCCGTTCTTCATTAAGGATATAACAGCGTAGCGGCCGATGGTGCTGGCAGGCCCGGGCTTATTAGCAAAAAGGAGGACGTAGCCCAGACGGAATCGCGCCCCAAAACAGACAGTATGCGAGACGACTGTTTCTATTGAGACTCTGAGGCGCCATCCTCGTTGTGACGAAGCATCCAGCTTAACAGGTCGACTTTCGTGGCAACTGCGACTGGCTTCATCGCTCCATTTTCGCCTCTCTCGGTGACAACGGCTGCACTGTTCCATTCCAGGAATCGGTTTAACACACTGAGGGGCGTTTCCATGGTGATCTCAACAAATTTCCGGTTCTTGATCTGAGATGTCTGTTGGGCGTCCAGGGGCTTCGCCATGCCCATATCTCTGGGATCCGTGACGACTTCAGGTATTTTGCTGAAGTCGAACATGACATCCGCCACAGGGCTCTTGCCTGTAGCACGTCCGTGGGTAAGCCGACTCAGAATGTTGCCCAAGGTGAGAAGCCCAACAAGCTTCTTCCCAGAGGCTGCCAAAACAGGAAGTTGATCGAAGCCTCTGTCACGCATCATCTCAATGGCGGTTTCGCATGGAATATTCGACCGAACCGTGGTAATCGGTTTGAGTCTCAGAGCTTTGACCTTTGAGCCGGAAAATGCATCTTGTTGTCCTTGAGGCTTCAGCGTTGGAGACAAAGATGCTGGGGCAGTGGCGGGAGCTGTCAGGAGCCCGTTCGCAGCAAGCCAGTCATCATCCGCAAACTATAATCAAATCAGAACAATGGCCACCTTATATAGTTGTATGGGAAACAGTAAAATACCTTGGTAAGGTAGCTTCTGATGCTGTCCGGTAAGACTACAACTACCACATCATCCTTGCCGAATCTCTGGTCTTTGGCGGCCTGAACCAAAGCCGCAATGGCACTACCACTACTTCCGCCAACAAGAAGCCCTTCCTCTGCAATTAGGCGACGAGCGTACTGGAAAGACTCCTTATCAGCAGTTTTGTACCACTTGTCAACGAGTTTCTGATCCAGGACTTCGGGAATAAAGTCGTAGCCAATTCCTTCCACTTTGTAGGGCTCATTAAGATGCTCCTGATTCAATGTAGCAGGGAGAGCCAAGATCGAACCATGAGGGTCAGCAGCTATGACCTGAACACTGGGATTATGCTTTTTTAAGCCACGAGCTAGACCGGTGATAGTTCCGCCGGTTCCTGCACCGGCAACGATAGCCGTGATCTGTCCTTGCGTCTGGGTCCAGATTTCCTCAGCTGTCCCTAGCTCATGTGCCAACGGATTGTTCACGTTGCCATATTGATCCAATATATGCGCATTTGGAAGCTCCTTCTCAAGGCGCTTCGCCACACCGATGTGAGATTCGGGAGAGTCGAAAGCAGCTTCGTTGGGTGTACGAATGATGGTGGCATTCAAGGCTCGCAGTACAGCGACCTTTTCAGCAGACATCTTTTCGGGGAGAGTGATGATTGTCTTGTAGCCTTATACAAAACGCAGCAGAAGGGTTAGACATTGGCAACCTGAGACTTGGGGTCAAATGATCCGAGCAAGACGACTCGACTCACCTTTGACAGCGGCGACAAGAGCAAGACCAATGCCACTAAAAAGCAAATGTTAATTCAGCTCATACTTTCCGGAGAGACAAGCGTAGCGAAGGCCTGAGGTTACGTACGTGTTTCCACTAGTAGGCTCAATTAAAGTATCACCGGGCTTGATGCGCCCCGACCGCTCTGCTTCTTCAATCATGCGCAAGGCAATCCTGTCCTTCACGCTTCCCCCTGCGTTGAAAAATTCCAATTTCGCATACACCGTGGCCTCGATGCCCAAGCTGCGCGGTATTCTATTCAACCGTACTAGAGGCGTATTACCAATGTGTTGAGTGATGGTCTCGAGGGCCACCGGAGGGACGGCGGGAGCGGTTATAGACGACATAGCTGATGATTGAGGGAGGAAAGCGCCGACTGCGGATAATGCGAGAGGGGAACGGTAAGAAGATATTGAGGGATAAAGATTGAGAAGCAACCGAAGTTATAAAGTAGATGGAATTTTGTACCCTGGGATAAGTGTAAACACACACAAAGACAAAAAGACGGAGAATGCGAAAAGTAGTAATAACGAAGGGAATGGGAAGGAATAACTACTGAGGCAATGAGAAAATCTGGATAAAAATCTCGTAATCTCTTCCCCCTCCTCCTATCGTCCGACGGTAGCCGTAGCCGTCGGCTGGGCTGGGACAATGCTCTCAGACATTGATTTCCAGCTCAACTTATTATGGAGAAGAGCACTTCAGAACCTGGATCCTGCGCTCAGCTGAGGTTCCTCGAGGTCAGCTCAGGCTTATCATGGGCTGTTTTAACACGATGAGTACTCGATGCTCATTACTCCGTACTTAACTACATGTTCTGTACCCCGTACTATGTATATTCTGTACTGTACGGATACGGGATGAGTCTGGGCACCTGCTACAGACTCCCTGCTGCTGTGGCTGTGTTCATCTTGGCGGCGGGCACCGCTGGGTTACAGTACAAGTGTACTGTACCTTGCAAGGTGCCTTTACTCCAACCAAGTTTGAGTATGCTTAAAGGTCCGCTCAGAGGTGTTTAACCTGTTCGGCTTCAATACTTTAGCAATGCTCTCGGGCAAAAAAAAAAAAAAAAAAAAAAAAGGGGGGTCAATGGTCACGGCTCTTCATGGAACTCTCATCGGCGCCTAACTAACCTGATTAACTTGTGTAGGCACGATTAATCAACTAACATTACAGGGTATTTGAAAATTGGTTCGGCTACTCAGCTGGTGCTGACTGTCTGAGCTCGATCTAGAAGGCTAGACTCCATGCTACAGGAGTAACTTAGTAACTTATGTTACTACTAGTTATGAAGTTACTCCGTACTGTACAGTACTATCCAGCCGCGTGGGACCAGGATAGAACTAGACTTCATACTATGTACGATCGACCTTTCGCCAGCTGCCAACACATTTGCCAAGACCCTTGACTGGTCTTGAGGTCTCGAATCTTCATTTCCTATATATATATATGCGCGGGCTTCTAGCCCATCATGCCTCGGTCTCGACGATTACCTGCATATCTTCTTTGAGGATTACTTCCCTCTTTGCCTCCTCTTTACCTCCTCTTTACCTCCGGCTTCTGATGTCCATGATCATGTCATCTCTTGTTTGTCAGTAATAAGACGTGCAAGCCTAGTTCTTCGACCCCCCACCACCCTTTTACCATAACCTAGAACAGAAAATTTCAGCAAGCGGTTGGTGAATCTCGATCAAGAGCGTTTGTGTGCACAGCCCTCACGATTCACGCGTTTTACAGCGACATGAGCCAGCGTTCGCAATCCGGGCGACAGGAAGGTCTTCAAGGTGCCCTCGGGGTCTTATCGCCAGATCCTATGCACGTGGCTGACGGGTCGCAAGACAATACAGTGCTTCCCACGCATACCAAACAAGCCCGTAAACGACACCATGGATTGTTTCGCATCGATACTGCGGGAGAAAGCGGCCGAACTGGTATTCACCCCGTTCACTTCCTGCGGGTCTGTTTGCGAAGCACGTGTACCTTGTCCATGCTGGTCAACGTGCTCTGGCCATTTGTCCCAGCTGCTATCGCCATCCATTTTGCACGGCCAGACTTGCATGTTTGGGTGTTCGCTCTCAATTATATAGCTATAGTACCCTCCGCTAATCTACTCGGGTTTGCGGGGGGGGAGCTTGCGAAGAAGCTGCCCAAAGTGTTTGGCGTCCTTCTGGAGACAACGCTAAGCTCTGTGGTGGAAATTGTTCTCTTCATGGTTCTGATTCATAACGATAGAAACGGCGACCTCATCCCAGTCATTCAGGCTGCGATTCTGGGTTCCGTGCTGGCAAATCTCTTACTCTGCTTGGGTCTTTGTTTCTTTTTTGGTGGTATTACACGGGAGGAGCAGTCATTTCATGAAGCCGTGAGTGAAGTAGGATCAGGGCTTTTGCTGGTAGCAGGCTTCGGTCTGTTGATTCCCAGTGCCTTCTACTCCGCTTTGAGTAGCAGTTCAACACATACACAGATTACACCAGCACAACTAAACCAGTCTACCTTGATCATCAGTCGAGCCACCGCCGTGATCCTCCTGGTCGCGTTCCTGATGTAGGTGGATGCCTGCAATAGCACTTATTTCTGTAGCATCATGCTAACCGGTTCAGGTATCTATTCTACAATCTTCACAGTCACCACAGCATTTTTGACGAAGTCCTCGAGTTCGACGAGCATCAGGATGAGGACAGGGAAAAGGAATTGAAGCGTGCAAAGCTCACTCTAGTCGAATGCTTCATCGCTATTGCGACATCCCTCGCTTGTGTCTGTATGTCAGCAGTCTTCTTGGTAGAAGAAATCGAGCATATTGTCGATAGAGGGGTGTCCGACAATTTTGTTGGCCTTATCCTTGTGCCTTTGGTCGAAAAGGCGGCAGAGCATTTAACTGCAATTGATGAAGCTTGGTAAGTGAATCTTTTGGATGGCCCCCGACCACGTACTGCAGCAGCTTTTCGTTTGCCGGTCTCTGCTGACTATCTGTCCAGGGATAATCAGATCAACTTCGCTCTCTTCCACTGCCTGGGGCCATCTATTCAGACGGCTCTGCTGAATGCGCCTTTGGCAGTGATTGTTGGATGGGGTCTAGGGAAAGACTTGGGCCTGAACTTCGAGATCTTCATGATTGTTCTGGTAGTGTTGTCTATTCTGGTTGTCGGCAATTTCCTCCGTGACGGTAAATCAAATTACCTTGAAGGGGGTCTGTGTGTTTTGGTATACGTGATTATAGCCGTGAGCACATGGTATTACCCCCAGATTGAGCCGCAAGGTGGGTCAGATGCATTATTGGTGTAGCTATTGAGAGGGCGTTTCGTGTTATGTCCATACTGGAGGTGAAGGTCGATTGCAGCAGAACTTATTCGACATCCACTTTGTGCAAGTAAGTTCCTTTACTAGACGGTATCTCTTGAGGGAAAGTTTATTCCTGGGTGTAATTTTCAGTAACGATTTCGAAATCCGTTCTTGGTTTTCTTTTTTCATCTGGCTTGTACGTAGCCACTTCTTTTACAGTAGGTAGTATGTTGTATGTTGGATGGTGGGGAAGAATGGGAATTTGCTTGGCCACCCGCAAAATGATGTGCCGAGGCTTCCCGATGCTTCCTATTTCTAGGCCGTGTGCGGCTGACTTGCAGAGCCAGTGTACCGATGTTCGACCCAGTCAATCCAATGGAGTCAACACCTCTTGTCATCAATACTTTCAGGGAGCGCAATCTCCCGGTCGATCGAAATAAGGTCTTGTCAGTCTTCAGTAATGCGGCAGGCGCTGCAGCTCATGCCAAGTGGGTGACGGAGCATATCGCCAGCGAGTTACTATTGTCACAAGAAGAGTTTACATTGTACCCACCACGCCCTGCGTACATGACCAAAATCCACCTTTGATTAACTAACCCCTGCTTCTTCTTGAGCCTGCAGACATTCTGCTCTCGAGAAATCGAATGTCCTGAGCAAACTACTCAATAATCGAAGTACGCGCACAACTCGGCCAATTCTCGAAGAAGAACTTCAGCAAGCGATCGATTCACTTAACGCTTCTACGACCGCAATCCTACGGCAGAAGAAGATATTCTCTTCAAAATGCGAAACTATGAACAGACAGCTTCATCAGAAGGAAAAAAGAGAGCTCGGGTTCAAGAGGGATGCAGAAAGATTGCGTTTGAAGACTCTATCCGGGAGGCAGACTGCTACAGCCGTAGTAAGTCACTTGAGGGGTGAATCGAAATCCGGAGCTACTTGCTTATAGTCTGTTCAGTTTCTTGAGACCTCTCTTGAGCTGGAACTCGACGTCAAATTGGAATTGGAGAAGGTAGCAACAGAAGGGAGAAAATTACTCTCTTCTCTGACTACTCGATTGAAGGACGATGAAAAAACCCTCGCACACCTTGAAAGAGTTGCCCACGGGCTTGAGTATGTTGGGAACGATGCTTCTATTTCCAGGCAGGCTACGGATCTGGGTGTACATCATGCTCAGTATGTCGCAGGAGAGATACAGCACCGTCTTGACCGCCTATACTTGGAAACTGTACAGAAGGTCCATGGGGTGATGCAGGACGAGACAACACAGGCAGACTCTGATGTATCGGAAGCCCTCGAAGAAGAGCTGGGGTCATTGTACTCTGAGATAGGCATCCTCGCAGAATTGTCTACTAGACAGCAACTTGTCGATCCCATACATCGCGAAATCCAATCGCAACACGGTGCGCTATGTGCATCCTCGAATCAGAAACTGCACCTTGTAGGTCGCTCGTCGAAAAATTTGGCGCAATTGCTGATTATCTTTGCAGCTCGGAGGCATTCTTTCGCAGATGGTATTGACAACGAGAGAGTGTACCAAAGGATTACAGGAGCAGGATTCGTCTTGCGGGACACTTGAAGCCTTTACTGCTGCATATAAGACTGAAATAGGCGAGCTGCTTCTGGTCTCATCTGCTCCAAAGCGGAGGACATTGAAGACCCAAGTCGCACTGGCAGCGTCTCTAAATATTCCTTCAAGAAGCCATTATGTCCCGCTCTCCGAGGTCCAAGCTCTCGCAGGTCTGATACGCAGAATGGGCTTAACCCTGGACAACCTATCACTCGAAGCAAGAGGTGGGCCCTTGAAAAGTTTGCAGGAAAAGAGACGCAATCTCGTAGAGTCTTCAAAAGGTTATGGCTTGGCTGCAGATTCGCCACTGAAAGCGGCTTTGTTTCCTACCGATTCGGCAATCCAATTTCTTCTGCCTCGACTCCAAACCAGTTCGGGTTCCAAGGCGTCACTCTCCAATATTGACCATAAGCTCCTGATTTCTGAACTTGAAGCGGAACTAGAACGTATTCAGGAAAAGGTGAAGAGACTGAAGCCTGATATGCTTTCTGAACGCGATTCATGCCTGCAAATATTTTTGAAGAGATGGGAAGGACAGGTATCTCATATCTAAGACATGAATATGATGCAAAATTTGATAAAGAACTTCGGTCTTGCACATGTACGAGTCTTAGTGAACTGTCCATGAGCGAATGAAGCTCCAAATTAGTATGACGGCTAGTGTCGCTCTCGTGGCTCTCTTCATAATCCCTGAGCTCGACAATCGATGAGCGAAAGAAACTGGAGACCCAGGGATATCAGAATTATTTGCATCGCAGAGGATGTATGATTGTCGCACTACTCAAGGTCCTCTTTCTGCGAGTCCCGAGCCATCTGGGGTGAACTAAATATAAGATTAGACCATCCATCCCTACGAGGTGTTCGGCGATTGAAGTGGAAGGGGTTGGGTGCACGAAACCGGACGAACTAATGTCCGGTCCATTCTCATATTGAGCAAGTCTGCCCGATTCAGCATTTGTTTATGTTTTGGATGGATTGCCGCGCAAAGAGGACGCTTGATTCATTTTACTCGGCTTCGATTTGGCTTTTCAAGCCGTCGTTGACTATTCCAATTACATGCAGGTACCGTGAAATGGCCCTTTCACCATAATCAATCAGAAGTTGACCGAGGCATCGACCGCGCCTGCAGCAGTTAACATATGTTCCTCAACGTTGCAACTGACTGGACGACTCGCCTTTTCCTTGACACAATCCCGTCATACCTCTCTTGCTTCCAAACATAATCTATACTTGGGTCAACAATCATTCGATGTGGTTCGACTAGTATATTTATTCGCTGGGCTCAGTCATACCATGCCATCCCTATTAGAGAGGTTAATCTTCGCCTGTAGGTTCAAGGCCGCTCTACATACTACCACGCTTGTTTCTGCCTTTCTCTGCAGCACTTCACAATGAATCATCCAAGAAGTGAATGTGAAGTGGTTCAAATTCTACCTGCTGTTACAACCTTAGCAGAGATCTCCGATCAGTGTGTTCTACACGCTGGCACTGGGCACGACTCGAAGGCTTGGCTTGTAGCCGATGTTTTCCAAATCTCTCCGAGCACTGCGCTGGGGTTATTGTGCTCCAGCATCGAGGTCCTCTTGAAATCATCCTCGGATGATCCACAATTATCTCAAATACACGCCGCGCCTCCCGGTGTTCGGACACCCGGTGACAACATCTCTAGTGGCGAGACCACGCCCATTAGAGCCTCCGAATTGCATTGCTTTCCAGCCAATGACGAAAAATTGGGGCACGACCTTGTTCAACAAAGCGTGCTTTCCAAGAGGTTTCTGTCGAAGCGGGTACCACCGATCACTCTGAAAGATTACCTTCTACGGCTTCACCAATATTGCCCCATGTCCACAGGCGTTTATCTGGCTACGAGCATGTATATCACCAGAATGGTTAATACTGAGAAAGTGATACAGGTAAATGGAAGGAATATGCACCGTCTAGTTCTTGCTGGGCTTCGAGTTGCTATGAAAACTTTGGAAGACCTAAGTTATCCACACAGCCGGGTTGCTAAGGTTGGCGGAGTGACCGAACGTGAGCTGTCCAAACTCGAAGTCAGTTTCTGTTTCTTGGCAGATTTCGATCTACGGGTTGATGCGCACATGTTATCCGAGCAGGCAAGGCTACTTCAGGCCGGGCTGGATCTTACTGGCGACAATCCTCCCGAAGCAGTTGAGGGCTTCTCATGCCAAGAGTGAGGGCATGTTGACTGCTTTCCTTGCTATGACTTACGCTGTGCTTTTCAGGAAAGAACGGCGTACGTTTGCTCAGCACCTCGGAGGATGATTTTGCATATTATTATTATTCTTTCTCTTTTTTTTTCTCTTTCTTTTTTTTTTGGAATTGATACCCAGTGATGATGGTTTATGATATTTCTTGACTGGTAACCTCCACCGACTGTTGGGTGCGACCTTCGATCGAAAAGCTCAGTGGGGATGAATAGTCGATTCTATTGGAGGCGATGGCATGGGAAAACAACAAAAACTTTAGACTACTTTGATCGCAACCTTGAATGCGGCTGCCTAGCCTGACCACAATTCGATGAACTGGTTGGCTAACTGTTTAGTTAGTCACTTAGTCGATTAACTACCTAATTAGTAGGTAGTTAGTGATTTGCTTAGTCAAAAGCTGAGGACGGCAAGCAGAGAATCTTGGATAGCGACATCGTATATATGCTATTTGCAAACAGCGACATGTTATTTGAATTTTTACTGTCTCGTTAGATCAGTGTGGAAGCATTGACTGTGAATTTGCCCAATGTCGAGAACAATGTCGAGAAATTCACCATGTTCAACATGGTGGAGAGAACTCCCAAATGCTATCCAACCACTTAGAACCACGACTATTATTAATGAGTGGCTGAGTAACCACTCCGTACCTAACTTAGCCATCGTCCCTATAGATGGCCCCAGGCCCCCAGGCCCCCAGGCAGTTGGTCAGCCCAGCCCCCAGCCCAACCGCGCGCGCATCTTCCACCTTGTGACTCCGCCATACAACAAATAGAGGTGTTCTTTCCAGGCCCCGTTCGTCCGGTTGCTTTTTTCTCCATTATTGTTTTTGATATTTTTTCTGCATTACCATCGCCTTCAGAGGCAGCCATTGAGACTTGGAAGGCACGTTCGTGTTGTTGACCTCTTCTTTTCTCAATAAATCACCTTCCGCTATGCGTCATTAGATGTGTCGAGAGTACTTTCCCAGCTAGTCAATCTCCAGAAACGACCTTACCCCCTCCGTTCCGCAAACTGTCCTGCCATTCTCTATCTTCTTCCCGCCGTAATTCAAGGGCTGTTGCTTCATCTTGCAACTGCAGAAATCGTGTTGCATTCGAAATGGCGTCAGGGACTTCCTCGACTGGACCGCAGAATAACCGCGACTCTGCGGGACTGGGCCGTCCACCGTCCTTGCCCAGCGGCAAGAGCAGTACCTCCCCTCTAAAAGTGGCCCAGCATGAGGCGACCGTCGAACTCCAGAGTATGAAGACGGAGCGGAGCAACATAAAGGGTGCGATTCGACTCGGCGAGGACATTATGCAGATTGCTCGCATCGGAGAGATCTCAGTCATGCAGAAATTATTTGATGAGGAAAAATTCAGAGCTGACTACAAGGATGAGGAAGGAATCACCCCATTACATGTATGTTCTATATTGCTCAAGAATGCGGCACAAATCCCACGTCGTGCAGTTCCTACTGCCTAGTCCTCATTGCGTCATAATTTGCTGACCGACATTGTGTCTTTTCACTTCAGTGGGCTGCTATAAACAATCAATATGCTATGTGCAAATTCCTTCTTGATTCTGGTGCCGATGTTAATGCCAAGGGGGGAGAATCGGTGGCTACTCCGGCTATGTGGGCAGCGCAACGTTGCCACTATTATATCGTACACCTCTTACTACAGCATGGCGCAGATCCTCTTCTTACCGATGTCCAAGGCTACAATATTCTACATCTTGCCACGATTGATGGAAATGCATTCCTGCTTGTGCTTCTTTTACACCAAGAAATACCGGTGGATGTTCCCGACCAACAAGGCCACACAGGTCTAATGTGGGCGGCGTATAAAGGTTACCCTGCATGTGTGGATATCTACTTGCGTTGGGGTGCCAACGCCAATGCGGTTGATGATGGCGGTCTAACCCCTCTCCATTGGGCCTTGGTCAAGGGATCTCTTCCTTGCGTCCATAAGCTCATAGAGTATGGCGCAGATAGGTTCGCAAAAACCAGAGATGGTAAAACGCCAGCAACCGTAGCGAGTGAGATGAATACGACCCGGATATGGTATCGCGCTCTAGACGAATGTGGTCATGACTTCGACGGAAACACCAAAATCCTGCCTATGGGCCTGACGCCCTGGGTGCGGAGTAAGAACGCCATGTCGAGGTTCTTCTTCCTGTGGCCTTTCTTTATGATATTTGCAGCTGTCTGGATTCTCAGCAATGTGGTTGTGTTTTTCGCTATCCCGCTCATGCTGCTTACGGTCTATGGTCTTCAATGGATGGCTCAAAAAGTCGCTAATCAAGGCCCTTCAGAGTATCGAATCCTCCAAAAGACGGTAAGCAAGCACCGATTGTGCCCCAATCCATGTCACGCAATAGCGCTGATTTTGAACTAAGCCTTACCTGTCTGGGGTCTTTGCAGGCTCTCTTTTCTGGGTTGGTTTTAGATATGCCTTCTACTTGCTACCTGGTCAGTAATTCTTATCTTCCATTCCCTCAGGCCGCTTCGTCTATCTCCAAGGCATGATCCGCGCATTGAGAGGGGTGAGGGACTATTCCAACTGACTAGCCCACGCTTAGCGACGTTTTCCTCATCACCGATTTCCAACATCTCCTTCACCGTATTCTTTTCTCTGACGGCATACTTCTATTTCTGTGCGATGACCGAAGATCCAGGTTTTGTTCCGAAGATGAGCAGCAGGAATCAGCAACGAGCCGTTGTCACCGAATTATTCGAGCAGTGGAAATTTGACGAGGAAAATTTCTGCGTCTTGTGTATGATTCGAAAGCCTTTGCGAAGCAAGCATTGTAAGCGTTGTGGGCGATGCGTCGCAAAGCATGATCAGTGAGGTTCCCGCCAGTCGCTGTCAGAAAAGCGTCCACTAACCCCAAACAGTCATTGCCCATGGATCGACAACTGTGTTGGCGCGAACAATCTGCGGCACTTCGTCTCGTATATCATCTGCTTAGAAATCGGCATCATCTTGTTCTTGCGCCTGACATTCAATTGTAAGTTGTTCTTGGCTCATCTGAAGGGAAGCGCAAAGCGGAGCGTGCTCCAGCTGACGAAACTCAAGACATCAGCGTTCTTCCAGCTCCTGCGAATCCACAGTGCAATGTCATAAATGATGCATTGTGTGATTTTGTACTCCGTGACACATTTACTCTAGTTCTCGATATCTGGGTGCTCATTCAGCTGGTTTGGATAACTATGCTCTGTGCCGTTCAGCTTGTCCAAATCTCCCGAAACCAGACGACTTACGAAAACATGAGGGGCCATTCGATTGACCGGAGTTATCCCAGCTCACGAGCATTTGCCTCGGCTGTGACGGCAGGTACGACATCATTAGATGCGGCTGGCCTCTCTTCCGCCGGTCAAGGTCCCAATCCGGCTCTGGCGCAAAATGTTTCACATAGGCACCAACGGAATGGCTGCCTGCAACAATGGTCCTCTCTTTTGGGAGTTGATACATTCTTTGCAACAGCGCGGGACGGGTTACGGGACGGCCCACGTACCGCCCGGCCAAAGAATCCCTTTTCCCGTGGCATTGTCACTAACTGTCAGGATTTCTGGTGCGACCCTGCTCCCTACTTCGGACGACGAGAGCCAGGTTCTGCCATCCTCGGCGGTGAAGTTGTCAATTACAACCGAATGTATGAGATTCCATTGCGAATGCACAGCGGCGGGGGCTACCGTAGCCTGGCCGACAATGACCTAGAGCAAAATGCTTAAATCATCTCTCTTCCTTCACGACTTCAGAGTCGTTGAATCAAGAACCTGAAACTATGATGGTCTCATGCTTGGGAGGGGAGGTTGCAGATCAGCGTCGCGCGAATCCGTGCGGAACGGAGATGCATGGATGAACCTCTCATAGATGGCAATCATTACCTGTTCTTGGCTCATCACTGTCTCAGTATATTATGCTTTGCATACTCGAATTATATTCTAGATGATAGCCACCGATGGCCTCGGCATATGAGGATTGTATGGATATTTGAAGTTGACACCTGCGCTTGAATCTGCCGAAACTGCGATTGATGGATCTCTCATAATCATACCTAGAACAGTGCCATGACGAAGGGTCAGAGCCACAAAAGGGGGGTTCAATTCCAGCGCAGGGACTGTAAAGAAAGCTGCAGAGAGCTCTCGGAGCCGAATAGGGACTGGGCGTATGTATGCCCAGTGTATAAGCATAAGTGGAACCGCAAACATTCGTTCATGTAATGTTCATAATTCCTTTGCCTGTACAGTATGATGTACCGGTATTTACATCATCAGTACAAGACGAAGTTACCAAGCATACCGCAGTAATATACCCAGGACCACGTACTATGTAGCAAAAGATCCGATGTCGCAGATTTCAAAAACCCACAATCATGCTAAGATCTTATCTCGGCAGGCGCCATCGACTAGTATGAGTAGTGTAGGAGGTACGTAGGTATATACCAAGGTAAGTATAGTTGCATAGGTACATACATACAGGCTACACCACCACTTCCTTTCATCCTTGGAACCTTGTCGGCTGTCTCGTTCTTTCTGAATCTCTACTTCTCCTTCCCTCAAATGAGTAGAGTAAATGAGAAACAAGTCAATCATGAACTATTATTGCATGTAATCGCCGATAGAGTGTTTTGATGAGTATGTGGAGAATCTGCATGTGGATAGGTCTTTTCTGTAGTTTAATGTTACAGAGTGGCTGTAGTGCACCCACAATCACACCTATGCATATCTACTGAGTATGTGGTTTCTATCGGCCTATATGTACTGGCTTGCTGAGATGGGTAGTGGGCATGGAGATGCCTTGTGTCTTATAGCATGTGGGCTCGACCGCTGTGTCTCTACTAATCTGCCTAGCCTGAGATCAATATTTTCCATTGGTTTGAAGGCAGCGGAGGAGAAGGAGAATAGAGAAGGAAGAAGGGAGGGGCAAAGGGCCACTGATTGATTAGGGCACAAAGATAATTATCTTACTCATTATGTATGTATTCCATGCAGTGTGTAAGACAGCTGAACCCTGCGATTTTGACTCAAAATGGAGAGTGGCGGTTTTGGCCGACGAGCGACACCGCTGATCACAGGTTTCTTGATACTATGTATAATGTACGGTACAGTACATATAGTACTGTACATATATACCTTCTAAGGTTATCAATGTGTACCAGGAACACGTGGGAATCTTCAAATAATAGCCTTCGAGCTAAGTTAGCTCTCTTGCTGCGAAGGGCACACCCATGAATGCCGACATCTTCGTATGGAGACTATGGACCGCTAGGTAAGGGACGGAACCGAGACTTGGAAACACCTCCGACCGACCCCTCACTTGAGGTAACATAGCTAGTAAGAGAGGATCATGCAGCGTTGGCACAACGTGCAATACATACCAAACAACGACTGGGTCCAGACCGAAGCAGAGTCTGCAGATGTGGCTGGATGGATCAGGCCCTAGCGACAGGTTCGAGACATAATGCCCGTTTAGCGCTTACCTGCATGAATGCATGTACATACATGTATGTATTAATTCACCCGAGAAAGAATACCAATATTCATATACTGTACAGTACAGTACGTAGTAGTATGCTCGGTACATTATACCGGAGAGGAGATAGGTTTGCCCAAGTCTATTGTTACCACTACGTACAGTATACTCATTGTCACGGCGAAGGAAACTCCCGGGAAAGAAAGAGGTCCTACAGACCTAGCTCAATGGAGACTATTTACTTGCTGGCCTATGGTCTGACTGATTGAGGCGCTATCGGAGCCGGGCAGCAAAAGCACTTGTTCTTTTTTATCCCTCGTCTTCTGTTAGGGCCTTGGTATTGTGGGCACCGCATGGGCTGGGAGTGGGGCGCCTGGATTTTCATCAACCGTCAACCCTTTTCTCCCGATCCCCCTCAGAGAGTCACTGGCCTATGACCGATCATAAATGGGCCAGCAATTGGATTCTGTTCAGGTGTGTACTGAAGCGACTACAATTCTATGTGAACTCCTTTTTCCCCCTTCTTTTTTTTTCTTTCTCATTGAAAAAAGCTCCAAGCAAAAGCTATCGGAAATTCAGAAGCCAACAACGGGCCAGAAGCACCCGACTGTGAGAGAAGGTGTGGGTCTTGGGGGACATGGTCTCATCTAATCAATCAGCGGAAATCAGTGAGTGGACCGCAATACTTCCTCGCGTATACGGCTAGGTTGCTACTCCCGGTCCGTAGGCACGGTACGTACGTACACGGATAGTATGGAGGTATTTTGGGCCGGGCCTTTGTGAAGCAACCCCTTCCGTGTCCACGTCCCGCCAGTACAAATGACCCAACATCAAAAAAAGGACAAGCAGTACTGAACGGTTAAGGAAATGATACTTGCCCATCGAGTTTGAGGAGCAACCTTGGGCTGCAAGCTCCAGAACATGTGTGTATTCTTTGCACTGTAAGGTCTCAAAATCTCCCGGGCCGAACTGTGAGCGAATTACGGGTGTTGCAAGATGGCGCCATCAGATAACAAGAGAAAAATTTTATCTGATCAGATTATCGGGAGGGATCCCGATATTTCCCCCCCTTCCAATTAACCTTGGTAGAGGATGCGCCTCGGGTTCCGAACGGCGAGAACAGACGGACCACAGAGTGGTGTTAGATAACATATTTTGGAGTCTTTTCCCTTTCCCCAACCCCTTCCAATTGTTGTTGTTGTTGTTGTTGTTGTTGTTGTTGTTTTTTTTTTTTTCGCTCCCCCTTCATGTTACCATTTTCTGCTTGTGCACCGTGACTAATTCATGACCTTGGTGTAGCTCATAAACTTATCCGGTGTAGGCCAATCAGCTCCGGTCGCTTGACGTCAGCGGGCCTGTAACTTACAGTATCGTAGGTACTCATAAGAACGAAGTACCCCAATTATCGTCTCCACGCCGGCCTCAGACACGTTGCTCTTCTTCTTCCCTCCCTTTACCCTCCCACCACTCACCCAAAGGCACATAATTTGAACTTTTCTTGATAACACAGTACATGGGACAGCTAATGACTTCAAATCATTGAAGTAGAGTCGTTCGGCAATTCTGTCCCTCGTTGGCTAACCTAGGGTATCATTGAGTTGCATTCTGTAGGTACAGCACAATGCCATGGCATTATTTTCTACGTCGCTCCAATTAGAAAGTATTGATTCGAGCAACAATGTATCTCATCTCAATCTCTATGTAATATGCTACGTACCTTGAGTTTCTCAGTATCAAAGTTGTATGTAAATGGTATATTTAACACGAGTAAACGATCATAACTGACAAATATACTGTTTACAGTCAAGGTAATTCCTGAAGCAAGCGTTTCTTTTTTCATCTCACCCGCCCCTCTATTTTTCTCCTCTTCTCTTCTGATCATTTAAGTATTATTCCCAGGCATCAGGAAGTTGTGCCGACGAAACAGACCTGCGGATGCCTCCCTGGATCAGATTCCTGTATTACAGCATGGCGCGCAATCTGGTGGCCGGCACCGTCGCACCCGACAGCTGTTCACCAAAGATCGATTCCACCATCTCTCCGCCTCGAGCGGCCAAGACAGACAGAAGACTGTCGCTCAGGCCATGTGTCTTCTCATTGCAGCCCTGAAGCCAAATGCCTGCATGGGCGCTGACTTTGCTGGTGTCCATATCGACCCGATAATCCCGGCCAGGGGTCCAAACTTCCTGCCCCGCCGGTCGCAGGTGCTGTACGTTCTTCAAAAGTTGCTCGTGTGCATTGCGGTTGTAACCCGTTGCCACCATGAGGGCATCCACCTCCAATGTCTCCTTGCCATCACCAACCAAGCTGTCCGCTCCATCCTTAGCGGCGCGAACGTGAATGCGCATCCGACTTTGGGGACCATGATGTTCAACTCGGGTGACTTTACGGCCAGGTAGAATGCGGTGTTGCCACTGTGTCTCGTCAGGGTTCTGGATTCGCTGGGTATACATGTCGTCGAAAATCTGCTCGATGAGCTCAAGCCTGACGACACTGTAGTTAGTGGCCTTGTCGGCCTTGAGGGAACGCTGACGTTCATTCGCAGAAAGGTTGTAGAATTTATCGATTCTCTCGGGATTGAAGAGTTCATTGACGCTAAACATCTGAGTCAGCTCACAGGGCCAGAAGGTTGAGGGAGGAGGTGATATGAGGTGATTGCGCTTACAATGGGGAGTCATCGCTGGGTCGCATGGCGGTATCCCGCATTATTAGGGTAGTCTTAGAGTTAGGATAACGCTTCTGAATATCGTGGAAGATTTCCGCAGCACTTTGGCCGCTTCCAAGAACGGCAACGTTGTAAGGTTTGCGCTCGTCGCTGAGTAGAGCGGGTAGATTGGTGCAGTACTGGGACGAATGCAGAATCCGGGGGTCTTGAGGAAGGCCTGGGGGCATCTTTGGACTGCCACCAAGCGCAACTACGACCTTCCGTGCCGTTCTGGAGGAAATCTCTCCGGTCTCGACATTGCGGGAACGAACAGTGAAATAGTCAACCACCGAGCCTGTCGGGTCGGTTTTGCCCGGAACCACATCAATCACCTCTTCTCCATAGGAGACCACCTCGGAGAACCGTTGCGCACACCAGCGCATATAATCTTCGAACTCCAGGCGAGCTGGAGTGAACGTGCCTAGATTTGTGAAGTGAATCAACCGCTCCTTCTGGTGAAGGTAGTTGAGGAAGGTGAAACTGCTGCGGGGATCACGGAGGGTGGCCAGGTCCTTGATGAAAGAGATTTGCATTTTCGATCCGGGCAGCAACATGCCCGGATGCCAGGCGAACTGCTTCTGACGCTCCAGAAAGCAGACTCTAGGTTGCCAGCCGGAGCTGGAGGTGGACTTGTTCAAACAAGGATCCAAGGCATCGTTCAAGGCAATTGCGATTGCGAGCGATGCAGGACCGAACCCCACACAAAGCAAATCGTGTAGCTCGTCTTGGGGGCTTGCTCGGAGACGGGATGGCTCCCGCTGTTGCTTGACAGCCATGTCGCGGTGGCTCTGGAAGCTCACTTCAGGCTTCCGGACGATAGACTCCATTGGTGTTAGCTATGCTAGACAAGATGTGGCAAAAGGGAGTAGCTGGCGAGAAATAAATCAGAAAGGTCTGTGTCCCAAGATCAGGATGGGAATGGGAGCATAAAACACCGTGGGCGGGCTTTGGAAAGAGCAGAAGATAGCGTTTGGGGAGAGGTAGGGAGAGAGTAGAGAGGGAGAGAGAGGGAGAGAGAGAAAGAGAGGGAGGAAATTGCGGTAGGTGACGGGCGAGGGGTCGTAGGTAGTTATATGCACCGGTGGATTAATCGATGGGGGCAATGGAGAGAAAGGATGGAGTCAGGCGCGCCGAAAATGGAATCCAAGATAATCGAAGCGGATAAATTATGACTGTCCATATGGGGCAGGAAAAAACAATAAAACCGATCTGATAATCTACGAATGAAAAAATCGGTGGAAGTTAAATACCGAATACGTACTGTAGGTCCACAGACCGGACGGACGGTGGTGGTTTCCTGGGGAGCCCAAGATGGATAAGATTATTTTTTCTTGAAGCGACGGATCCTGCTTAAGGCTATGAGACTTTTTAGTTTTTGCAGGTCGGAATCCCGAGTGGTTCGATCAATTCTTTCTTTTCCTTCCTTTTCTCTCCCTCTCTCCCTTTCCTTTTCCTTTTCCTTTCCTCTTCTTCTTCTTCTTCTGTTTTTGTTTAAGGCTCCTTCTAATTTATGTTAATCTCGGTGTCTGTAGACGCAGTTGTATTTAACGCAGCGTTCTCTCGACTTTGAATATAACTTACCTCATCTCTCCTGCTTGCTTTTTCAGCGCACCAGCATAATTCGACTGGCCATGCTTTGACAGCGGGCCAGGAATAGCATAGTGAATGAATGGATGGGTGGACACACGGTCCCACTGGCCCAAGAAACGTGGTAAGAGCAAGGTACGTACTTACTACCGTACTGACTGTACTTGAGTACCAAAACTACAGAATGATACACCAAAGGGGAGGGAGGAGTGGGTGAAGAGTCCGACCCGAGTGTGCCCCGCAGTCCGTTCGGTGTAGAATCCTGGAAGTGGAAAGTGGAAGTGTGATGGACGCTTAGATTAGATCCGCAGTCGCCCGATGTCGGAAAACTGGACTAGCCCCCGACGGGCTATGTACTGTACATACCTATACAGATAGATGTATTTGTTGTATATGTAATTGTCTTGTCATTCTTTCCCCTTACAATACAGACAATAAATCCATCTTTCTTCATTCCCAAGCAAACAAAAAAGAACCCTTTTCTAAATGTATAGGTAGTTATAGGTAGTAGGTATCTCCCAACTTGCTAGGTACAGTACAACTAGTTGGCCAAAATCAGTGCAGTGGAGAAAAAGCCTTCAAGCACGAACATAGCAGTTTAAACATTGATAGGGAAGCTTGTCAGCACACGATCACGAGAGACTTCCTTCATCTGCACGCTCCTACTTATACCTAGTAGTGTGCTGCCTCAAGCAGTTGTGGAAGCATCAAGGGCCGCTCGGGAGCCTCTCTAGGCGTTGGGAACAACCTCTACTCACCTTCATACTAATGCAGAAGGACCCTGTAGGCAGAGCCAATTGTTAAGCAGTCTCACCCTGATCACGAACCTGTCTGATGGCCATATGCATGAACCAATACCTCATTTTAATCTAAACCGCCTGTTGAATGGATGTGGATGAGGTGCCTATGCCTTCTACAGGCCTAGATGCTGGACCGTGGACATTTGCCTCGCGCCAACCCCTACTTAACATTGGTTGGCACTGCGCAAAGGCATAACGACTGGCTTGCGACTAGTGACGGTCATTGATCGGTGAGTCTCTATGTTGAGGGCAGGAATGGTGTGATTTTCTATAATCAGCTGGTTTGAGGTGATTTTTACTGGAGCCCGGATCTAACCCCGCCTTCACCATGGTAGAATAAGCACGGTCTTGGAAGAAAGTTACACCACAGCGAAGGCACCTACCTACCCCTCACTAGCTACCTAGTACTGTAACCCATCCTCCGGGCCGCTCTTGTTTGATTATGAATGCCTTTGTTCTAGTTGGTTGAACTTTGATTAAATACAGTCAGAACTCTCAGTGTATAGTTACTGTAAAAGATGCAAGTGACTTTACACCACAGGCTCTCAAAGGCGTTCGCCTCAATGTGACCGTCAATAAGATACTTAGTCACATTATCACCCTTGACTACTGCTAATTTCTTCAGAGGCATGTGTATGCTATTACAGCATTTCCCTACCTATACCAAGAGACCGTAGTAGTAGACGTAATAGTGCTAAGACAACATTTGCGTCAACAAAGACAGATTTCAGAGCTCATGGGTGCTGTAAGAGGTCTGAATTGAAATACTTTAGAGTAACATGATGCACCTGAGATTCTTCTTCTGTGCAAGTGTGCTATATATGAGTATTGTACATATCTTGGTCGAATAGCTGATCAAAAGCAGGGGGGTAGTTTACATCAGCAGTACTTCTTTTAGCTATATCACTCAGATGGCAACAAGCCATTGCCAGCATGCGAGTACAGGCGTTGTTATACCAGGCTCAGTATCTTCGACTTTAACATTGCTGACCTGTCTCAGACCCTGGTACTGCAATTCTATTTGATTCCTACAGGCTGGATAAATTTGGTAGAGCAACAGTCTCCACCTACTGTGTGATATACATAGTATACATTGGGTGATACCCTACTCGAAGTATGACTTGAAAGATGGGCGCATACCCATGGTACCGATAGCACTGATTATACCTAGAACTGTTAAGTATGAAGCTTCCGGTGAGGATTGAGTATTAAATGGCTAACGAGGTCCGGGCAGCCAGTATCAACAGTAAAATACTTCGTCTTTCAATCATGCAAAGACTTCCCCTCAGATAATAATCATACGACAGGCTCCTAGAGCCCAAGCAGATTACTCTCAGAGGTAAAGTGTATGCTGCGCCAGAAGCAGGCTCGAACGCGTCCCTGATGATTGGAAAACTAGACCTTCCTTGCCATGAATTGACAAGCTGAAAAGCGCATGACCAAAAGCAAATATAACAGGGCCCTTGTAGCTGTATCTCACGAGAAGTTATACTAGTAGTCGGTCATTTGTTGCCACCAGACCTTCACTCCTGGCCAGAGCTTGAATATGAATTCGTCTCCCGATAGTATCAGCATCATTGGATGACTTAGCTATAAGGTCTTTGCTGCACCTTCGTAGACAACCAGTTCGATTTGATGTCCAGTAGCAAAACAGGTGGAATGTTGTCTGGGTCGAGGGTCCACTTCCTACTGGGTAGATAGAGACAGTCGAGGGCATACCTTAGTACTCAATAGGCTGGTGTAATCTCTGAGATATCAAATCAATTGTAGTATACATATTCAATATTATGTCATCGACAAGTTCATCTCAGGAACCAATGAGCTAAATGTCTTGAACCATGCTGTAACTCGACACCCAGCTATAAGCCACCTTCTCAAGTACACACTCTCTCGACACTGGTAGAGTGGTAGGAGCACTATGTTCGATTATCATACATCCTGGCCAGGCATGCTGTTACCTCTGATCTCAATCAAGCAGTCGGGTTGCCTTGCCCATAGGTCGGACAGACATTGAGCAAGCCCAGGTTAGTATGCTTGATGGTAGAGCATGTTAGCCAGCCATCCTTCTAGGTAGCTGTAAAGGTATGATCTCGCAGTTAGAGACCAATTAGATCCCAATCTATACGTAGCCTCACACCCGATCAAGTTCTCTAACAAATGATTTCACAAACAGCCGATTATTTTAAAGAAAGCGATTACAGTATAGATAATCCTTTGAATATTTCTCTTTCGAGTTGACCTTGTATTAAGAGCGAATCTTACAGCGGCAGCAGACACAATGACGGAGCATGACTAACACTTGGTAGTTTGAGAAGCATTAAGCACAATACGTACTAAAGTCATAAGCCCCAAATCTCAGTAGGTATATGGTTCCTGTTTACTGTCTCGTGCAGGTTGAACAGGATGATGCGAGGCCCTTTATTATTCAAGAACCAACGCTCAATAAGTTTGTCAGACATGCAATTCTTAATTCACGTCATACCTGGTTATTGACCGAGCTTTTAAGTAGCAAAGGATAGAATAGAGAACAACGAGACAGCCCCAGGGTTGAAACATAGGAAATGACGGAACCTTGGGAAGACCCTCGTCCGTGACAAGTATCACTCGGTTATTTCGTGCATGTTATAGGTCACGGCCCACTAGCTAGAGACCATTCCTCTCGCCTCGACTAAGAGTTGACAGAGAGACCATTACCCAGCTATGAACTACAGATTATGCAGCGTCGGGGCCCTGCGATTTCATGCCCGACGATTTTCTAGTGCTACGATTCTTGAAACGCATACTAACGATTATATGCTTGCATACATATCAAGAGAAAACCGTACATATTTACAGACACGCATTAGACTGGTAGATTTTCGGAAGGTGCTGCACTCGAGCAGGCTAGCCAAGTGTTCTGTGCTGTGCTTAAACAGATACTTGACTGATTGCTAAGGCAAGTACCCATACAGTCCCTTTGAGTCAAAGCCTGCAGCAGTGGTGTGTTTCTGAATAAGCTAGCTTGATCAGAAGGCTGCCTCATTGGGTACTGGCGAATCCGCAGGCAGGCATTTTGTGACAATGACAGGAATTCGGTATCTTTGTCTCACTTGACTTTTATATCAAACAATACGTGGTATCAAAGCTACATGAAGTCTTTTCTCATGCAAATTTGATCCTGGCAGATAGGATAGCAGCAAAGCAACAATAATGTATGAAGCTAACGAAACCAATCATGACTCGTGATGCCAATTCCATATCCGTCCGGATTTCAGGGGATGGGGAAGATAATCCAGGCAGATTTAGGAATACCAATAAGAATCGAACTATAACTGCATCTAGATAGCTAGTACCATTGGGCGGTCACGTACATTAGCGCAGTTACTATATGTCTGCTGGAGCTTGCATACATATGTACCATGGATGGCGACTGCTCACAAACAACTTAGCCACACAGCGATTCGGGTTGTAAAGATAAAGCACCGAAGGCTTATTACAGTGCGTACCGTATCTAAACTCCACTTCAAGTTATCTTATTCAGTGCCTTGGTAATGAGATGGCTCAAAATATTTAGGTCCTCGCCTCCTAGTTACGTGTCTCGTGCTTGACACCTGGGAGGTCACATTGGTCCCATCCCCTTGCTGCGCAACGAATGTGCAATATAAAAAATGAAGTGCAGCGGTTACTCGGTCCGGAGAGTCTGGTCCGAGTGAGACATTAGCCATCATCGTGATAGCCAAGGCCTGCTTCATTGAGCTTAAGCAACCACCCGGCCATAAAGCGGCCCAACTCAAAGGCTCTACATATTTATTCAGTGCGAGGAGGGAGAGTGTACATAGGAAAATATAGTCGGATGCTGTTCAGTCCCGAGGCTGTCGCATCAAACAGAGAGCCTTCCTAGCCAACGCGAAATATGTGGCTGTGGAAGTGTTCTTCCTATCTAGGGCCCCAATTTTGAATACACGCATACAAGCTTCCCCAGACATAGTGGCACTTTCAAGCCAGGGTTTCTCTCTTGAACTATGAGTCGATTATGTATATAAACTCAAGTGGCTTGGAAGGAACACGAGATAATTCGAATGCCGGGAGAATCACGAACGTCGGAGGATTGAGTTGTTGCTTCTCAATTGTAGCTATACCATTTTTGCAATCGTATCCGATGGCGTCCTTGAACAAACTGACAACATGGAAGAGGTCTTCCTCACCCAGAGACGCGCAGAGTTTGAACAAGGAGCCCAATCAGGCAGACTGGTTCACCCCGGCAAGCCGGAAGTCTGCAATGGTTTGATGAACGTCCCGGATGCAGCTAGCATCGACAGGTGACAGGTGGCCGAAAGAAGGTCGAGAAGCTGAGCTCACCACAAGGCCACAAAGCCCCACGAGTATGCGCAGCTGAACCAGACAAAATGGGCGAGGCAGACGCATCAGTGGAGTCGCAGGCATCCTCGGCGCCTCGCCTTCCTGATAAGTCCAGCTTTGAGACTTTCGGGCAAGGTCTGGGTAGGTAAAAGAATGTCGACTGCGGAACCGGCATGGGTATCTTGTGAACAGATCTAGAATCCGCGGGCCTTGGCCGGGAATCTTCCGTGAGGGTCAACTTAGAACAACGACCACAGTACTAACAAGGGCAAATGTGGTAAGCGGTTCATGCGGTGGGGTGGGGAAACAATTCGAGGCAAGGCCGCAGGACATTACTGTGTAGAATTCAAGTGTTTGGACCCAGAGAAAAAAAGTCTTGGATCGACCGGGCGCCGCCATGACCAAGGAAGAATTACGGTAGAAATCTGCCAAGAGATAGATAGCCCCATAAGTCAATGTGTAAACGTGAAGAAAGGAAAAAAAAGGAAGGAAGAAAGCCGGGAATTGCTCGACCCTAAAGGTGCGGTGTAAGGGAGAGGAGGAGTGGGGTCACTGGGGTGAGGGATAAGCTGAGGAGCCAAATGGATAGGGCGGCCGGGGCACCAAGGGATGATTGATTGCCAATGCCTGCAGTGCAGGTGTTCAAGGTTCCAAGTTCATCAGACTACCTTACTTACTATTTAAGTTTACCTTGGTTGTGCCTGAGGCCGTCAAGCTGTACTCCCGAGGACCGACCTGCGTGCGCTATCTCTCCCCAATAGATTGATTAATTGAATCAAGGGTGAAAGCCTATAGCCCTCTCTACGATCGGCTCAATTATTGCTAGAGATTCGAGAAACCCAGCTTTGCACCAAGCTAACTTGATTCAATCTTTGAACCACAACTCAGGAACGACTAACACCCTCAGAATGGATGATGGCAATGCGCTCGAGCGGGCTTCGGGTGAAGACCGACAAAGCGAATTGCCTCGGAAGCGCTACAACAAGAAATATCATGTTGTAGCATCATGGTGTGCAATATCATAGGACTTCATCTGTCTGAGGCTATGGGGCCGTTTCATATTCTTCCAGGTGCTTACCTAGTTTGAATGGTTAGGGAAGAAAGATCATGTGGGGTGATGTCCGAACCCCAGTCTTACAGAAGATACGAGAGGTGGTGTAAAATTGCAAAGCTAGCTTGCATATCAAAGACATACAGGAAAGTACAGTATGATATGAAAAGCACTTTTTTTTTTTTTAAAAAAAAAAGGTTACTGTCTGCCGCGGACATGTCGAGAATAGCCAGAAGGAGGCTGCGAGGGCCAACACGTGTTGCTGAAGGAAGAGGGGGGAGAGGGGGGAAGTGGTCCGGTGTTAACTACAAGTATGAATAGTGAGAGAAGAATTGGGCACCAGGCCAGCTAGTAATAACGGGCAAGAGCATCCAAAGCTTTAAAAGGATCAGAGAATAAAGCATCCGCAATTAGGAAGTACTGCTACTGTATAAGTAATTGTAAGGCTCGCCATCCCCGGCAGGGAAAATAAAAGAGGTGCCCCAGTACGTAGCTCTAGTCGCGCCCGAGCATAAGACGAATATGACACCGAAAACGATTGTTGATATAGCCCACATATGTGGGTAGTCAATTGCTCAAGTTTATTATTGGGAAGATTCTAAAGCAATGAATTATACATTAATTGTGGGGGAGGGACAAGGAAAAACTTGCAGAGAGATTATAAACTGGAAGAGGAAGTTGCGACACCGATTTCAAAGCTTATGATAATAATGTTGAAGAACGACATAGTCTTAGAACAAAGCCTCAATGATGGGGTTTGCGGACGGATCTCAACTGCCTGCTCATGGTGGAGGAGGAGGGGTGATTGAGGTAATTAGTTATTTCAGTGCGCATGCAAGGGAGTAGTCAGATAAACTCTGGAAGGGTACGTACAGTTGATCCGACCGCCGCTCTCCTCTTCTCCCAAACCAAAACACCCCCCCCGCGCGTCTTATCGACATTAGTTATCGATAGGATGGATAAGTAAGCGTCGGGTGATGCGGAGGGGTAAAGTGGCACTGATGAAGTCATCCGGGACTTCTCTCAACTGGTACGGGAGCCCTCAGTCGCGGGTCTTGTATTCTTGCCTTACCGTCTACCACGCTAAAAATATATTACACGTTACGGGACTATCCAATGACCGGGTTCTGGAAATCTTAATTGCGCCTTGACATGCGGTGAGAGCAGCCTGGCCAAATTTTTTAAGGGAAGATAAATGGAAAGATGGTAATGAGTCTAGGTAAAAGTGGTAGAGATATGGTGGCCTGCAATATCTCTCTGCTTTGCTTCCTTCCTTTCTTTTTTCCTTCTTTATTTCTGTTATCAGTCTTTATTCTTCCCTCTCTCCATTGAGATCGCATCTTGCATCAACTGGCCTGAAACCAGGCCTGAGATGGAAAGAACTGCAAAGAGGCGGGGCGCCGAAAGGTTGAAAATTACCGGTATGTATCGTATGATCCCCAAGGAATCTTGGGGTTACGCGTGACGCTCCCGGAGCTAAGCCTAAACCAGTCTGCCGTCAACAACAAACGACGCGACTTGCGCGTGCAAAGAGAAACATCGAGTCCCGCCCTGGGGATTTTGGCTGGTCGAGGAGCGAAAGACGAAGGAGTCGACCAACTTGGCCGGGTACCTGAACCATCCTTGTCCTGGTCAGGTCCTCCCTCTTTCTCTACCACTACCTTTCTCCCTCCAACTAACCGCTCGCTCACTAACCACCGATTAACAACGTTGGCCTTCTCTTGCACTCTGCAATTTCTTTTTTTGAGATACCCAAAATTTTTTGTTCCCTTCCTTCCTACGCTTGCTTACCATCCACATCTGTCCCTCTTATTCCCTTCTCCCCACCCAAACTTATTATCATCATCATCGAATGACTATCGGCCTTCCCCTCCAAAGTTAACTCGCGAACTTTCCTCCCCATAACGGTAACTTTTCGGACGATTGATTCATCATTATTGAAAGGCTGGCTCTGCATACCGCAACTTCTCCGGCCTATCGCCAGCCCCTCCCCTCCATCGGGTTATCCATCCTTCCACCTCATCCTCATCCCTTCCTTCGTCTCGCCCTCTTCGACTTCGCGTGGCTGTTTGATTCTTTTTTTGGGGGCCCTCGAAATCGCCACCCCTTGCGCCCACGGTTCTCTCTGCAGCAGAAGCGCAGTCATCCAGGTTTTAAAGGAAGAAAGGGAGACGGAAGGGAGGCGAATCTTGCTGCTGTGGTTCCCTTCTCATCAAATCAGAATCAATCCTCTCAAGTCCTGCGCTGCAACTCGCCTGCCTCTTTCTCGCGCATCGCTTGCAGCTGGTCGCACTGTCTTGGAATTCTTGTCGCGTCCGTCCTCGTTCCTGTCGCTCCTGCATCTTCGCGTCGCGCCTGCTTGTTTTGACGTCTGCTATCAATCTGAAACATTCCATAGAGATCTGTTTCGTCTCAAGCGCAGCGACGTACTGCGCAGGGCTTCAAGGACATTGTGTGCGTGGTCTGCGTGTCTGATTCTGACGCGTGGCCCCGTGCCTGAGATCGCAAAGGAGGCTGATTGTTTTCCTTCAACTACACTCTACGAACATCGGCATACGCACGGAGGAGTTGCTGCTCTTTGGGGGTGTATGGAGGCTTCTACAAGCGCTCTCGAAGCCCCCGCGGTTGCGACCTAAGCTGCTGATGTTCATTCATCTGTCGTGTCGCATCGAAAACACATATCACGCAGACCCAACCACTGGCGCAGCGCCTTACCTCTCAAACATTCCACTACAAACAATATTCGCGTTGAAAACTGGCTTAGCCGGGGCAGAGCGCACCGCCACAGGATAATTCCCGAGGCTGTTGGCTGTTGTGAAAGTCTGTCACGACTCGGAGAGTCTGGAAAGCCTGCCTTGGTCGTCGATCTGTGACTTGGCAGAAGCACACTTTGCAGACCATCCCAGACTCTATCTGACCTGCTTCCAAATCATACGTGAAATACTCACAGGTCTGGTTCCTCAATCTGACAATCATATACAACCATTATGGTAGCAACTTTCTCGCCGCACCGCGATGCGGGTGGCACATTGCACCTGCCATCTCATAGTGGTATTCACCATATGGACGCTAATACGGCCATTCGACAACTACGCCGGTCATTATCGCGCTCGCCTTCCAAGAACTCAAACTTTTCACTGCTGGCACCTCGACATCATTCCCCGTCGAAGACAGCTCCTTTCATCTCCTCACCTCTGTCACCTTCCCGGCGATCCGCACAGAGCAACTTTGTACTCTTCCCTAGTTCATCTCATCAATCACCATTCGCCGTACCTTATCCCCCAAGCACCAAAATAACGAGGCCTATCATGCGTCGCGTGCGCACATCCCCGAGAAGTCCCGTCAAACGCGCTTTAAATATCTCCACAGATCACGGAAATGCGAAGCCTGCACAATCAACACCAACATCGCCGGGTGTGGAGAATTCCCCCACTACCCCTGGGCTCGTTCTTCCGTCTCTGGACAACACCGCAGTCGATGCA